GTGGGCTCAGATCCAGCTCCCATATCGCAAGCTAAAGCGGAGCATGTTAAATGGCACACTCGGTAGAGATGACCAGAAGTATATGGGCTGCAGTCTGATGTATCATGTATCTCTCTGCTGCTATCCCAGATTAGGACTGAAGCAAACTGGCATAGTAACGCACCTACGAGCAGTCTCACCCAGCTTGCCCTGGGACTTCTCCGGCTTCCAGTTCCCACAGCCCAAGAGACCAGTGCCAAAAAACGGGGCATCCTCCAGCTCTCTCTGCATTTAAAAAAGCTTTGGAGATCTTAATGGGGAAGGGTGCCAAAATCTCATCTCTGCAGGAAGGAGCTCAAAAGCTTAAATTTGGGTTTCCTGCTACAACCCCAACCCTCAGGAGCTCTGCTGGGCATCCTCAACCCCCAGGGCTTCCCTATTGCATCAGCTGGCTTTTTGGCAAGCCCAGACTGCTCCAAAATGATCCCGTGCCTGTCCTATTCCCGGCTGCCCACCATTAAATGGCTGCAATCAGTTTGACCAGATACTCTACGTTTCCAACATATAACATTGCATCACCACATACTCCTTCCTTTCCTCCCAGTACTAACCCATCATAAAATAACTACCGGACACACTGCAATGTCACTGCAAAATAAATAAGTACCGCCTTTGCATGCTGCATTCCTTGTCTGGCTGGCCCAGGCTGCCAGCTAAGACTGAGCCTGAAAAATAGCTCCCACCTGTACCCACCTTGGCAGCAGCCTTGATTAGCAAGAAGCTTAAACCTGATATAGTGGGACATGCTGCCAGTAAAAATGAAGTACGCTGGCATGGGTGAGTGTGCAGGGACCCTGAAGCAAATCAGCAGCGAGCACTGCCAGTCATACCGGAGGTGCTATGGTGGCTGGTTTCCCATCATTTGCCTGCTCTTGTTAACGTCTCTTGCAACTATCATGCAAAATTAAAAAAAAATATATATGATAGTAAAAATTCCAGTCAATATATCCTTTTAATTTGCACTAGATTATAGTTTTTTTAATGCAATTACTGTAATTTCATTAAATGACATAATTACCATTAATGCAGAAAAAACTGTCAATAGAAGGTGTAATTATGTTGTACAAAATCACAAGCACAATGTGCAATGATGCATAATTCCTCATGAAAATCATTCTGTGACTAACTTTTAAAATATTTTTAAAATACATATTGTACAGTAAGAATGATTCCATTATTATGGACTTAAATTCCACGACCAGGGAAAAAGGGGGAGCAGAGCAGGAAGGGAGTGTTTGCGTGTGGAAGGAAGGACCAGGAATTCAGTTTAGAAGTGCATCAGAAAGGTAAGAACACAAGTTTTCATATGCATGAGTGGGAAAAACAAACAGCTTATAATCACACGCATATATAAGATGACCTGCGAGCAGACATTCCCCTAGGCACATTTCACTACACACCTCCAGGTTTTTGGACACCAGTAATGCAGTGTGGAAGTGATAGCTCAATGGAGAAAGGTGTGACAAGAGGAAGGAATTATGAGGACCAGGTTAAAAACAAAACATTCAGCCTGGAAACTGGGAGCAAATTGTCCAGGGTAGGATATGAAGAGTGTCACACACTCAAGAACCACCATGCAGAGATGTACTAGAGTATGTCTCTGGGTGTCTTCAAAACAAAGGCCTTTTTGAGAGTCATGTTTCAGTCAAAATATATCAGGTTGAACACACAGATAACTATATCAAAATTAAATAGAGTAGAATGACTGAAGAACTTTTTGGTTCCCCCAAATCCTGAACTGATGGAGAAGTACACATGGATGAAGTCTTTTAAGATCTTTCCCATTATATGAACATTATTAATTCTACAGGCAACATTTTCCACATGTGGGAATATTCCTGGTATTCCCAGGCACACACAAACACGTGTGTCCATTTTTCTCATCAGACCAATAATGAAAAGTATACTACAAAGAATCCAGAAAACCTACGTGTGACTCTTTCCTCTGACCCAGCACTTTTTTTCTAGAATTTGTATAACACAATTTGCACCGAACCCTTGATGCACAGGGCAAATATCACCAAAAGTGAAATTTTGCTTTTCACCTCGCCTTCCTTTCAACCCCTCTTTCCAAAACTTCTAAACCTGAAAAATTTCTGATTTTACTTGTGCCTGAGCAGGCCTAATCAGTGTCCTCTGTGCCTATACAATTAACTCATTAAAATCACAGAATGCTGAGGAAAAATGTGATTTCATTTTTATAGCACAAAAAAATTAATCATCTTGCAAGTTCTTGGATTGTCTCCTCTCACCATTACAAACTAATAAAGAAATTTATCTTGGGATGGTGTATGTTATAAACAAGAAAACATGGTGATAGCATTCCTCTCATTCACTTGCGTCCTGCCTGTGCTGTCCTGTTTCCTCCCTCTCTATCTGTCCCTCTCTCTTGTGCACCAGAAGTGGCAGTTAATGTCCTTGTCACGCTAACGATCTGTCAGCACTAATGGGGAGGGAGGTGCACTGTAATAAAGACTAAAACAGGAAGATGTAAGATACCATGTCCTTGCCTATTGCCATGCTCCGATGATCTCTTATAAATATTTTCTTCTGTCTGGCAGTGGTTTTTGTCTGATTGCTTAAGAAAACAATGTTCACATGATTATGCTGTCTGCTTGTCTTCCTCCTCCTCCCTCCCTCTATTTCCCCTTGAAGGAAGGGGCATGGGATACCTGTAGAGGGAAACCAAGGACAATACAACAGAGGAGGGGCATCCTAAAGACCACCACATCTCTGGGATTATCACAGTGAAGATATGTGAAATATGTAAAATATGGTCACAATGGTTATTGCCAGTGGCCCAAGGGACAACATCTGTGAGGAAAAAAAGAAAAAAAGAAAAAAAAGCTTTCTATTGTTTGAGGGCCCGGCTGGCACTTAAGCTACCAGCCATGGTTTCATGAACCCAGATGAAAAATCGATGAGAAGCTTTGTGCATCTTCCTTACCTCTCGTGTCCAGTGTCAGCCACCAGCGTATTGTCCGTAAGACAAACATGGTACAGCTTAAGCTGACTCAAAGCCAGGTACTGACGACACATAGATGTTGTTTGATGGGGAACGATGATTTTAAAAATGCAATATTTAATACACCTTTTATTTAACCTGTTAAGAGTAGATTGTAGACTTTACGTACAGATTGGGGCAGGGAGAGATGATGCACCTACCGCGCTGTGTGCATTATTTTTTTTTATTTTACTATGAAAACACACATTGGAAATAGCAGGATACACAGAATTAGCACTTCATTTTAAGTACCAGAGCTAAATTATTTCCATGTAGAAAAACTCAGCCTTAAATTTTGGTTTGTAGAAGAAACCTGCTCTAATTATTCTTGGAGTCATGTATTTTCCCACTACCCACTTTCTGTCAGGAAACCAAGACATTATGGTATCCAGCAGAGATGTTCATAATCTGTATCTTGTAACCTTCTATCTTTGTGCTCATCTTCCTTTTCACTAGGAATCAATTCCTTTTTCTGCAGACCCACTTTCCCACTTTCTTATTTTTCTGCCTCTACCACTTCCAAACTTCTAAGTCTAGAAAACTGAACTTCACAGCTGTGACTTCACAAGTATTTTGGTGCAAAATCTCTTATGAGCAAATCTTTTAAGTATGTGTCTAGATTCTTGATGAGCAGTGATGGTATGACTTCAGCACTGCGATTTGACATATGTCCCTCCCTTTCCAGCCCCAGCATGCATGACCATGTGATTCCCTTGGGCACAACCATATCTGCTTCAGTGAGGTATCATCTGCTCTGCCCTTCACCAGCACTTGAACCATTAACTTAGATATGATCTAAATAAGCTTTGAGTAACAGGAAGAATTAAAAAAAGTAAAACAGAGAAAAGACCCTCTCATCCTTCTTACTCTTACATGCCAGTCATCCCTCTAACCTGCAAGGTGAAAGACATCTCCATCTTTGCTCTGAAGCTTCTTTCAATCAAGGATGGTCCACTTTATTCATCTGCAGCAAATACACTGAAGTGTTTTCCTCAAAAGAACCTTTAAGTGACTTACAATTCACAGACAGTAAAAGGGGTAGAAATTTTGGAGGTGTGGCTGTTATTTTGCTTAATAAACACTCAACTCAAACCTTCTTTCTGCATGCTGGACCACCACAAAATGATTTTGCAACGTTTAATGGCATGCCAAACATTTCAAGCATGAAGAAAATGTCACACCGCAGAATAAAAAGCAGGCAAAACCTTTTTGTGCTTGAGTGGATTATGAGAAAACTGCAAATGGGGTGTTTACTACCAAGAGGAAAAAGGAGAGAGCTGAAAAGTGGGACAGGCAGGTGGAGAACTTGGCTTTTTGTTTGCAGAGCACAGCAGAACTCACTGACCAGTCTTTTTCTTTTCTCTCTTTTTTTTTTTTTTTTAAAAAAAAAAAGCAAGATACTATTACCATCAAGTGAGTAGATTTGCAACAGGTAGTGTCAGCAGAGCTGCTCACGTGCCATAGGGACACAGGCATTGATGACCTGCAGCAAAGTGCCTCCTCATTGCAATGGAAGAAGGAAGGGGCAAGACCATTCAACTCACTGCGTCACCCCAATCAATGGCACTTCCCTGCATCACCCTCTTGGCCACCACCTCCCTCCTTTCCCACCACCCAGCTGCCACGTTCTTAAAAAAAATTCAGTCATCACACGGTCACAGCCTTTACAGGGTGATGTCACCCACCATGGACAAGGGCATCCTCAGTGCTTGGTGCAGGTTGGTGAGTACTTCTGCACCCAGTGAAGAAAGGCTATCTCTGTAAACCTAATTAACACACCCATCAGGCCTAATGTGGCCCAAGCTGCCTTGAAACCCACAGCCCTGCAGCCACGTAGCTACGAAATACCAATAACAGCAAATGATAAAGGGGTTTACACCAGTGGAGAGGAAGGCACGGTAACACTCGAGATCTTATATCACTTAGCCTCATGCAGTAAAAGAAGAAATCCACTTACCACAAATGCTATCACGCTCTTTACTGTGGACTCCCAGAGAAAGCAGCTCCGAAGGAATTGTATTGTATTCCATATTGCCATGGTGATTTTTTTCACGCGATCAACATTTCTTGATAAGATCTGATAAATATTGAGTGGGAGGAGGGGAGGAGAAGAGGAGTTTAATCAAACACTCTAATATCCTACTATTGCTTCAGAAATAGGGATAATTTAAGCTACAAAGGCATGCCAGGGCACATATTACAAATAAAGCCTTTATTTCAGAGACATACTCCAGCTCCTCTATGTTTTCTGACTACACCCAAACCTTCCAGATTTTCCTCATCCCTTAGAAAAAAAAGAGGAAGAAAAAAAGGCAGCACATCTTGATGCCAAAACTAAATAAAACAGTAACACAAATCTACCTTAATTCCGCTTCAATTCTCAAAATACATCAACATCTCAGGAAAAGGGCCAGAGAGAATGTAATCAAAACACTGAACCTCTTCTCTACATATTTTGGATTAGTCCACAGAAATAAACAGGGAATTTTAGCTTTACTATAGGGCACCTTTATTTAAAAAAACAATAATGGTCATTGTTCTAAAATCCTATGGACTTTTTAAATAACTAATTTACACCTGGTTTCTTCCTTCCCAAATAAAGGAATAGGCTCTCATTGTGCTTTAGGTGCTGTGAACTGTGCAACATCCACAGTTATCATTTTCCCCACTCTGAAGCACGAAGCAGAACTACTGATGCAAACTAGATCAGAAAGCAATTTCATGTTAACACAAACAAACCTTTTAATATATACAGAAATACACAGAATTTACATGTGTTCAGCATTTTATGCATAAATAGGTTTTGTTCTTGCAACCATGGTACAGCAGTTCAAATCTTTCCAAAACAGATGCGAGAGCTTAGCCCAGACACAATTTTCACCTTTTTAGAAAATTTGCGGTTCTCCTCAGTAAAGCGCTTTTCTCGGGGCTTGAATGTTCTAATACTTGCTTTTACCTTAAAAAAAAAAAAAAAAAAAAAAAAAAGATATGAAATTTTATGTTCATTATTTCAGCTTTGTATTACCAGCATTGTTTAGGAATTTGAAATTTCATGAGCTTTCATTCTTTTCAGCCTCTATGCAATTTAGGAGGAGCTGCTAGGAAAAATCTGGATGAGTTAAATTGGGCAATACTGGACTCACGTCAGCAAGAGCATAGCTCCTGTGCAGCCCACAATGGCCTTAATAAATAGGATTTAACTCGATAAAAGGCTGTAGGGCATAAACAATTGAGACTGACTCAGCCACCTAAAAACTAAGTGCACCACGTACATGCCTCATTAATTTTCCTGTCAACGCCTGGGGGAGAGAACATAGTGGCTTAGCTTTTTGGGGAGGAAGTAGGTGTTAAAAGTAATGTATAATAATCTAAACATTAAGCCCTTTTTTGGCCATTGCCAATGAAGCCCTGGCACCTTCTAAGGTGCTCGTGGTCACTTGTCAGTCCAAAAATGCCCCCGTGTTGCCCCATCCACCTGGAGAGGCCATCACAGAGCCCTGATGTCCCAATAATTCTTCACCTGCAGCATGAAACATATCCCCCGCCCACACACACACACCAGATGCAACCGGGTCAGGACTGTTCCTGCTTGGCTCCTGGTTTTTAAAGGATCACCCCTCCACCCCCATCCTTGCAGATTCACACGTTTCTTACACTAGTGATAAACGAAGAGAAAATATTTCAAACTTACAGGATTAAATAGGACATCCAGCTCCAAGTAAATTACTCCTTTTGAAGCACGTTCCAAGTCTTTATTCTTCAGTGTGTAACAACTTTGTTTACCGTTTCTAATCTATAGTTTGGGGGGGAAGAAAAAGCATCAATATTTTCCTGGTTATAATTCACAATATAATTTAAAGACACTACAAATAAATAAATAAATCACAAGCACAAAAAAAAAAAAAAAAAAAAAAAAAAAAAAAAAAAAAAACCAAACACAAAACAGAAAAAAAAAAACAACCTACCAACCTCCCCAAACCCTGATAAAATACTCAGAGCCTGAAATACAAAATGACCGTTGGATTAGAAACCTATAAAATTGCAGATTAAATCTCTTATGGTCCAACTTTAATTTACAGACCTTGTACTTTATAGTAGAGCAGTACACGCAATAACCAGTCTGAAAAATTTGCCCTGGAAGCCAGTGAGTTGATGAGAAGCAATCAGCCTCTGTTATTACAGGTTTAAAATGGGAATTTTCTTCCAAAGTTCAGGAAAAGAGCCACAAACAACTCACCTACCTATTGCACACTCCAGTACACGAACCCACTCCTTAATGCTTAGTTTATTGCAAGTTTGTCAAATTATTACCCAGGAAACAAACACAATCCAGAGATATTAATCAGCTTAAGTGAAGCAAATTCTAATGTAACAAATGTTCAAAATTAACTAATTCATGTAAAAGATTTCTCCCCCCACCTCACCCCTGAATTTCAATACCATCTCTATGCTCTAGTCTACCGGTTGGCCCTATCTCATTAAACGTCTATAAAAAAAAAAAAAAAAAACAAACCCACAACAAAAAACCTTCCTCACCATTTTGTAAACTATTTGGCTCAAATTAAAAGCATTCTCTCTTCAAAAAGTGATGGCAGAAATGTATTTATTATACACAGTAGGATATGTATTGATTAAACATTTGGCTTTTTAGGAAGCAGACCAGTTAATTCTAAACAGCAGTAACATAAAAAACTGCAGCTTACCAAAAAGCTACATTCAGGGACTGTAATGATCAAAGATTAAAGATAACGGAGGAAATTTGGGGGCATGAAATTGCAACCATATTTAAAACGGCTATTGCTGCTCTGGCATTTAGAAGAGGCACTCATATAAACCATGGTAGAAATGAGTAAGGAAAAAAAAAAAGGCATAATGGGAACCAAGTGATTTCATGAGACAAGGGAAAGGTCACTTTCCTTCCCAAAGTTGCTTCACCCTTTCTGTACCAAATAGCTTTTCAAAGGGTAGATGTGTTTTCTGGCTAGCAGTTGAAAGTGAAGAGGGCTCTCACAAGGACTGACTTTGCATCCTTAGTGATGTCCAACCAGGAACTCCAGCTTTTACCTATGTTCTCATCCAAAGTTTTGCTTAATAGGATGCTGGGAGGTATTCAGGCATAAGTGGAATTTATTTAGTATCAATAAATAATAATAGGCACTGAACTAAACTGATCACAAAGCACCTCTGCTTTCACTGCAAGAGAGCGCATGTCGAGTTGGCGTTGAAGCGAAGGATGTTGCAGCTCCCAAAACAGACAGGCAAAAAACTATTCAGCAGGCTCAGAGGACCTACAGCCCCAAAAGACCAGAGCTGCCGAAGTGGCTAGCCCCTCTTCTAGGGCCAAATGGACCGGCACAGAAGGTTCTCAGCACTATTGCCACATACGGTATTGTTGGCCCATCATAAAGGATTCTTCTATTTCACTGGTTTGTTTTTCTGCCCCTCAAGCAAGGGCAAAAAATAATTTTAAAAGATAACAAATGAAAACAAAACAAAATTTATTTGGTAATCAAGTATTTTGTTCTATTTCCCAAAATAACTGAAAAATGGATTTACTGATGGTAGAGATACTGGGCCAGAAGTACTTTGTTTGAGGTTGTTATCGCTTTGGTTCAAGGGGATGTCACCAGTAGCAGGTTTAGACTGAGCTTTGATTCATGGGCTCTCCTGCAACAGGATATAAGGTACCTTGTTCCCAGTGTGTCTGAAGAGATGCAGGTGTCCAATACATAACACAGTATCATAATTTTGGACTCTCCCTACTTCTAATTTGGGAGCTGAAGTTCCATGTATTTCAATTACACATATTTCTCATAACATTTCATCCTATTATCCTAGGAGCAACAACTAGTGGGAAGTTCTCTATATTCCTTGGGATATACTTCTCTCTTACATCTTTCAAGAGCAAGGAAAAAATGTCACATGCTGCTAAATCGATTGAAAAAAAGAAAATAAATGCTGTCACTACTGAAAAGGTCTGAGTCCAATATCATGGTATTCTGCACTCAAAAAATGCTTCTGACTGGGGAAAAGACTGTTTTAAGAGCTGGAGCCAAATCAAATATTTTGGGTGTGTCTGCAGGTGTGTTCACACAGTAAGTTTCAAATCAGCAACAAGCAATTTCCATCTCTGTCTGCATTTAGAAATAGGGGTTGTTTGTTGCTTGGGAAACTTTTAAAAATGGTCACATTGTTGCTGCTATTCTAAAATTGAATAGGGCAGGAAGTAATGCAGGGCAAATATGGGTTTATAGTCAGCTTCATTTGTCATCTTTAATTCTAAGTGTTTGACTTGTGTGGTAAAAGATGTGCAATTATAACTCTGCCTAAGACTAAACATTCATACAGATATCCTAGCTTTTGACCTTCTTCAGAGGAAAAAAAGCACAAGAGAGAAGAAGAACTGGCAATGAAACGGCATGTCTCCGCTGCATTTTCATTTGGATGAAAAGCAAAAACACTGAAAAAAATGTCAAACAAAAGTCTCTCTTACAGTTTTGGCAACACACTAAGCCAGTGCGGTTCAACAAAAGGTGTAGGGTAATTCTAACACCCATGACTGCATGGAGATTAGATCAGTGGCATGTCTCAACTGTGCCCAGAAGAAAACATGCAGAATATCTTGTAATGCTCTACATTTTCACTGCATGCTGTTCTTGGGCCAGAGTTCAGATTCTGTTCAACATCTCCCCCTGAACCTCAAGAGACAGCCAGTCATATTAATTTCATTTTGGATCTATTTCCTTCTCCATTCTGGGTACTTTTCCTCAGTCTCTGCTGTTCACAAAGACTGCTTAAATGCTCTCTCCAGCTGTGGAAAAGGTGAGCAGTCAGAGCTCGGGTCCTAGAATGGACCTCAATGTCAGAAAGGTCAGATTTATTCTATGACCCAAACAGCTTTTGCTACATACCTGATGATCTCACATGGATTTTATTCAATATTCCTGATAGTTGTGTCTAAAATAGGTTATCTTTCCTATGAATATTAACATTTACTTATGACAAAAGGGAAGGAAAGGAGTTTTAAAATTAAATGTGAAAAAAGCTTTAGGTGAGATCCTTAAAGAGACATAATATTACTCCTGTATTGATGATGATTTATATCCTCAGTGAATACTAATGCCTGCATTCTCTGAAAGCTTCTTAAAAGCATACAACATAGTGGGGCTCAATCACCAACCAAGACTGCCCATAAGCATGTGATTAACATGAGGACAGTCATGCCTACCTCACCAACATGCTTCACTTTGCAAGGTCACCATCAGAAAACTTCTGAAAAAAAAAGCAAGATTTTCATCCCACGGGACTTGCTGATATTTGGGACATTTCCCTGCTCTGAATCATCACAGAAAGAACAAAATATCAGTATCAATATTTTCACAGAACAATTAATATATTCTGTATCACAGTCCCTTCTCTATACAGGACCATGAAAAGGAAATTATCAGTTGGAAAAGCTAAAATTCTTTGTGCATGAATCATTTAAACCTACAGACGCAATTCAGACAGAGGCAACTTCTGGTAGTGCTTTAGCTAAAGGAAATGTTCAGGTACACGAGAACACTGTACAGTCAAGGCCCAAAGTGCACTGGGTTCCTTTCAAATGAATGAATATATTTTCTAAACTCTTCCCACAGATGTCCCCAGAAAAACAAATGTGACTAAACACAGTATTGATGTAGCCAGCCAATGCTAAATCTATTAAGCAACAACCTTCTGACCGCTTGGGAATTTTAATGAAATCGCGAAAGCAGAGATTGATATGACACAAAATGCGGAGAACAGAAGACCCTTACGCAGCAAAGGGTGTTTTTTCATTGCTCTTGTCTCAAAGAAATATGGTTTAGTGGCTCTTTTTTTACATTGATTTTAAGAAAACTTCACTCTGTATCCAGCTTTGATGCAGATTCAATGTCATATATTGATGACCTGACAGAAGAACGCTGGGTTAAACCTCTGTACATCAACACCCATGACGTGTGGAAAGGGTAATGGCTACTCTCCAAGGGTAATTCATCTAAAGCATTTGGGACCTCTGATATTCCTGCTTGAGCTCATTGCTGATGCACAATGTCATACCATTTGCCCTGAATAACATAAAGCTGTCTTGTAATAGACACACAGCTACCCTCATCAAAGGACATATTTCCCCAGGAAAAGATGAAAGCCAGCCACACATTTGATCCACCTGGACATGAATAAAGAGGTTTTTTGTTTCTCCCCAGTCTTGCAATATACCTTGATTCGATTTCGTATGAAACTCTCATTCATTCCTCCCAAAACTCTTTGCCCTAAACATTTCACTTCTAACAAGCTCTGTGGGATCCAAAGCAGATTGGAAATCTGGGTTCTTAGCAGAGGATTGATATCCAAAGACCAAATAGGTATGGAGCTGATGGTCTGAAAGACAGCAAGCAGCCACACAATGGCTTCCAAGCAGCCTGAAGAGAAGCTGAAGACCTTGGGAGCACAAGGATCCTAGGTGGTACTCAAGAAAAACATTCTTGTTAATACCATTTGAGTGAGTAGTGCATGGTTAGAGAATTTAATTTCAGAAACAAGTTTCCATTTTTCCTAGAAAAGATATAGGTTGTTTTTTTCCCCACTCCAAAGTTTCTGGTTCACGACAGGGGTAAAAGTCAGAACAGACTACCCACTTCACATCTGCCTCTATCTCATAAATGCAGCATTTTCACTTTTCTCAAACTCTGAAGCTTTCTCCTGGAAAAGGCTGTGCACTTACAGTCAAGTGCTTAGTAACTGCAATCATCAGGTGTCTGCTCTCTGTATCCAGGCCATGTTTTAGATAATTAAGCTTACAAATGGCATACTACTTGTTTTCAGTGTATCATTGGCTACCGACCTTGCTTGGCACTTGAAAATATTTCACAGACCTCTTCCTGTTTGTTGAAAGAACGGTGCAGCTAAAGTCTACTCCGTGCTGATAATTCAGCAGATAAAAACCATTCCATCCTGTGATATAACTTTACTCAAAGGTCTTTCTACACGAGGATATTTGATATACTCTGCTTTCAAATTCATTGAAGCACACTATGTGCTCCCATGTCTCTAATAACTGGAAGCCTTCTAGGAGATAGGAGTCTCTCAAAGCAAAACAAAAGACAGACCCTCACAAAGAGAAACACGGTTGCTTTTACTAAGATCTAGGGCACAAAGGAAGAGAGATGGAAACGACTTCTTTGATAATTAGTTCAAGTCCCCCAAAACCTACAAAACTTCTAAACCTATCAAACTCCTTTCTTGAAGCAATGAAGTTTTTGCCCTACTTCTCCGTTCCCCAGGATCTTCTTCAGTTTTTAAGCATAAAAGCCTGCCCTGTTCAGGGGTGTAAATGGTCTTCCCTTTCATTCCCCAGGCTCTGAGAAAGCAATCTCCCTCTCAGCCCAAAGATTAGGCAAGCCAGACTCTATAGGCCACCTCTGGCAAGAGAGTGATCCATTTTGCTGAATATCCCAGTAGCACTAATCTGTATATTTTCCAGTTTAAATTCTGCATCTGTGATTGTGGCTGACCAGAGCTGTATTTGAGATGATGTCTCCCACGCATGCTTTAGAGGATGACAGTAGTTTGACATAGAGAAGGGCAGGAGAAAAAAAATACAATATGTTGATTAACATGGAAAAGCTGAAGTTAAAATGCAAACAAATAACCACTCCTCTCCCTCTGTACCCCACCTACCTACCAATAGAGAAAAATCCAAGTTCAGTGTAATGCTATCAAAATCAATGTCTCTACAGTGCATTATTAATAAAGCTGTATGAGAAACAAAGCAAATTGTGTATTCATCCAATATTGCTTCATCATGCCTATCAAAAGAACATGAAGTTTTCAGGTTTATTCATCATCTGACATTTCAAAACTCTTCTCCTACAGCCCAATTTTTCATGTTTCCTATTTGGTGCCTGAAATAAGCCTTGATCACAGTCAAGGATGAACGTAAAGCATAAATAATTTCAACATCTCTGAATTTTTTGTGCATTAAGGTTATTCGTGTGTTAGTGTTAATGTGATGATGAAGGTGTATGGATGTTTGCAAAATGCCAGTGTAAGACTCCTGAACACATTCAAACCAAAATTCTTTGTCAAATTAATTAAACATTTCATATCCCCCCAACATATACTTTATTCAAGGCAATTTTTCATTAAGAAAAGAATCTAGTCATCCATGAATAATTCCTGAAGTAAACTTGCTTCATGTTCTGACAGCTCACAAGTCAAACTTGTGCATTTTTAACAGGAAAAAAAAAAAAAGGCAAATGTACTTCCATTATCAAAAGAGAATTTAATGCAAGGCAAATATTAGGCCTGATTACCTAGAGAAATTAAACCTATATGATTTGCAAAGCTTCCTTGAGTTTTTAACTATTGTTCTCTTTCAGCATATTTATCTAAACGATTCAAAGGATACATTCATAGTCAAAATGACAACATACACCGAAATTCCCATTCCAAGAAAAAGAGCTTAGAAAATTGCAGTTCTCTGTCTGAGAAGACTACGTTAATAGGTGCAAAATGTTTTTTAATCAGAAGCAGAGACGAATATATTTATACTAGATTTGACTGAAATAGGAGGCAGATAAGTTTGGACAGGAAGAAGATCAGTTGGCAAGTGAAAGCATAAACAATTTTTATTTTATTTTTTTGTCTCAAACCTTGGACAAAAAACCTACACCAAATAGTTTGGACATTACCACACACATGCACTCCCCTCCTCTGCCTTGTTACATGCTTCCTAAGGGATACTTGACAAATGCCTATAAAATCAACAGAAAAATCCAAATCTAACATCTTCTCACTGTGAGCCCACACAGCCTGCTGCCGATCATGCAGACCATTTGGCAAGCACTGGATCTGCAGGAGAGCAGCTGCTCCAGCCACTCTCTTCCAGTAACATCAGAGATATGAGGACTTGGGGAAAAATTAACAAAGTGATCAAAAATGGAATAAAAGATGTTAAGAGTTTTTTTCCTCCCTGTAAACATCAAATCATCCTCCATGCCCAACTGACTGTAATATTGCTCTAAAACTGGAGATATCGACAACTTAAGCCACTAAAATAGACAAACAATCTAAAATATCCCCAGTTTCAAAAACACCTTGCTGTCCAAGCCACAGAGGGCAGAGGATTGCAAAGCACACGACAGTGTGCGGGGCACCAACAGCTCATTATTCATGCCTCAGCTTCTACAGCTTAAGCTTTTTATATCCCCAAATTGCAGGGCTTTCCCTGTTCTGGACTCCAGTATAACCTGGAAAGAGCACACAGCGGATGAAAACAAACACACTTTTGTGAAGAGTTTCAGAAGCCACATTGCTTTTAATTCACATACACAAGAAATACCATTATTTAGACAAAATAACAACAAAACTGGAGCACATCGGCCTATTTCTTTACCACTATAAAGCATCTTTTAGATTGGGATGATACCATTTAAGCCAGTTCAAGAGTTTTCTGGCAGTTTATTATTTATTTGGAAACATCAAATATTTGCAGTTCCCCTCTCTGATCTTGATTGGTCCCTTACCTAAACTATGCTAACTCTGTGGGGCTTATATGGCCTGTTTTGTTCAGATAGGACCTTTGCTTTCCCTCTGGAAACCTCCTGTTCCTCCCGTGTGTGCTAGGACAAAGCCCCACTAGCCCATTATTACAATACTGCCTGTCCTGCAGCAGCCCACCTCTAAAACTCAGACAAACTCTTGCCTCAACAGTGAAAGATGTGTGCCAGCCTTTCTGCAGAGGTGAATGTGCTTTCCACAGGGATGTTTCAAAACAATACTGCAATTTTCTAGTCTATAATTTCAATCAGGATTCACCGTCTGCCTATTCAAGAGGGCTATTACCCACAGCATCACACTGTGCATTACTGAAAGCATCTCACTACTGCATGTATCACTTGAATCATGTTATATATTGCAAGTGTGAATATTTGTACAATGCTCAACTCAGTACTCACTGCACAAATACCTCTCACGTCCTCTTCTCTGCATAAGGAACCTACTGCAAAACATCACTGCCTCAAAAGTCAAGGAAACTGCCATGCTTGCAATTAATCGTGTTTACTCGAGTAATACGAGCACACGAGTCCCATGATGTTTCAAGTCTCATCTACTAATGGATTTAATAAAAGTCACAGACTAGAAAGTTCTTCCCAAATGTCACTGTAAAAGTTACCAGAATCTTCTGTGATATTGCACATACACGTGGAGCTGTTTACATCCTCTTGATCTGGCTTACTGACTCTATTATTTCCAGCCTTGTTACAAAATTAAATCAGTCTTACCAAACACAAAGCTGCTTTTCCCCCATTTCTCTATTAATGTCTTTTAATGACCCTTTTATGTTTCCCTCTCTTTAGCGTGGCCTTTTTTGGACATTTCTGAAAAAGCTTCAAGTCTCCTTAATCTCCAGAGCAACCACTTTCCCCTGAGCTCGCTTTGTTTCCAGTTTTGATTTTATACTCCCATGGTAGTGCTCACTCTTCATATATTTGTTTACAGAACAAAAGGCACCAGTCTTTAAAAGCACTATGGAGCAGAAAACACCCCTTTTAGGTAATTTTATTCAGCTGTGCCAATAACAGCTATCTCTAGTCAATCCTACTGTGATGTGCAATTACTTTCTTGGAGTAAAAAGAAGCAAGACAGAACAAAGACATGCTTAAAATGTTACCTTCAGAAGATGATGTGGAAACATACAGAACAACTCAATTATGTTTTCAGACCTACATGGCATACAGTACTGATGAAGTACAGACACTTCTGCAATTTTCTTTCCAATCAACCAAATTTGTACTAAAATGGGTTGGCAATGCTTGTTACACTACGGAGAACTATAAACACTGCCAACTAAGGCATATATAGATCACAAAACCTGTTTATCTCTAAATCTGTGTTACTTTGTGCTACGGGGAAAAGAAATGCAATTCATTCCCAGCAAAACCATCAATGTTTGAATGATATACGTGGCAAAGGTAACTTACAGACAGCAAAGGGATGGCAACTTTTCCAAGAAAATCAGGGGGTTTATCTCCATCTTCATCAAACACTGTCACTTCCAGAACATCATGAATATCTTTAATAGGGCTGGAACAAAAAGTTTAGACACATAAAAAAGTAATATTCAATACACATGCACAATCTCCTCCACAAAGAGCTGAGAATACTGTTTTACTAATTAAGTTTGTATTACCTCAGAGTATAAAACTAGCTTTTAATTAAATTCCCCCAAAAACGAATAAAACAATGGGTATTCCCCAAGCTTTCCCCCTCATGTTTCAGTCCCATAAGTAGGTGAAGAAAGTAACTACCAGATAGTGACTTTTTTTTGTGCAGAGATGATGCTAACAGCGTAAAACTCAGACCTCACAAGGCAAAGCTGGTGACTGGGAGAGGTCAAGGCCTGAATTCAAAACGTGACTTCAGAACATTAAGGAAATAATCCAGGAAGCAAAACTTATGTAACTTCTTCTGACATGAACAATTATTGAACAATTATCTCCCTTTTAAAGTACTAACAAAGCCAATTACTTTAAAAAACAAAATCCTATCAACTCTAATTAAAGGACAAATTTACAATATTTTTGTTCCATTCAGCGCAAATGCTCTATTGATGTGGCAGCAGGCACTTGATCCTAAGTATTAATCAGGTCATTAATAAATCAGTTTCATTTGAGAAAAGTTGTATCTGTGTGCCGGCAAAAGCATGTGCAAGTGGAGACAACTTAGGAGTTGCATTCATTACGTCCTCTTTTCCTTTTTCCACATGCAAGAGTTAAAGAAACAGGTACACTGTACAGTGTGTGTTTGTTATTTAACTAAGTGCAGCCACTCTGCCCAAAAGAAGGTTGTTTCAGAGCAGTCCTGCTCCCAGAACCTCTGCCTGCACCACAGTGGATTTGCTCCTCATGGAAACTCATGAAGTCTGAACCTAAAAGCCACCTGACTGCCTCTCCATCTAGCAGCCATAGCGTGTTCTCTGGTGTGACCAGTGGCAGCCAAGCCACCATGAAATGCACTGTTTTCAAGACATTATGGCTTTAAAATACATTGAAACCTCATACTTCTGCAATCACACTTCCATATTCCTCTCTAAGCCATTATAATTTTCCATATGCTATAGTTACTAGTGGTATAAAACATTAAAATCCCACAGTGACACACATGGATAAATGTGTCACAGAAAAGCGGAATATGATGGGAAGGGCTTTCTGCTGGTATTGAAGACTCCAGCTCAAATGGATTCATCCACTCAAAACAATTCACTCTGCTCCAAAATAAATCTAAATCATCAATAGCTTTTAAGTTGCTTAACTGAAATATTTTTAAATGGCAAAAAATCTAAGGAGAGATGTGAGACCCTGACTGGCTCTAGAGCTTTGGTGCTTGTACTAGACATGCAACAGCAATAAGAAAGTTAAAGACAGTCCACAGCTGACATTTCCGAGATCCACAGGAAGCACAGACACGAACTTCCTTTTTAAATAAAATAATTTTGGATTCTTACTAGATTTATTTTGTTGGCTAAACATCCAACAAGACTCATCTGATGGCACAATCTCAGAGCAGTGATGAGTGAAAGCTTCTTGAGGACAGACAAAGTAAGAGGAAGGACTTCAAGAGATGTGCGTTCAGTTGCACACATGAATTAAACAGAAATCTTGCAAGGTACTTCTATCAAAGACATCAGATACTTTTTATTGTGTTCACATCCAACCCAGTATTTATGAATGTTATTTTCACAAGAAGTCCATAATTCTCAAACTGTTCTTCCAGTGGACAGATGCAAATGTCAAATGCTCCACTGCCAGCCCTTGCAGTTGCCTTCCCTGCCACAGACTACTATACAGTCTTGGAGACATTTATTTTAGTTATTCACAAAAAATATTTGTCAGCATAAAGCAAGATTTAAAACTGTGCTGCCTAAAAGCAATACCTGAATTATAATTTCTGACGTTAATACAGTCACAAAAAAACCCAAATATTTTGATTTCCATAAATATTTTAACTTCTAATTTGGGGTAAGTTATGTTTGACTAGTTTCAATTCAGAAAATATACCAGGAACAACATGAACTCTAATTTTCTGCTTGCTTACAAATTAAACAGGGATTCTACCATGGTTCAATGAAACATACTTTATTTTAAATTATGGAAGATGTAGGCATGATTATATGGTCTCTACTTTCTGTTATATTATCTCTTGGATCCAGCTATGACTCCATTATGTCTAGTCATGATTCTTCCTATAAATATCACAGTAATTTTTCTTTTAACGACTTCTATTAATAAACTCCATGCAAGAACTAGAAGAAGGCAAAAAGCTTTAATTTAGTTACATTTGATATTTCTCCAACATCCTCTCTGACTATGAAAAAATGACGTATCTTAAACTTGACCTTTGTATTTTCCCAAAGTCGATAGCTTTTAAAGTTAAGCTGCTAACTGTTTGGTGTTGCAGCATGTTTTCAAAAGCAAACCACTTACAACGTGAAAACTTTGTTCCACTCTGGATTGAGATTCTTGTAAACAGTGTGTGTTTGAAGACTGTCATTTCCCAGCTCTAATACACAGAAAGGATCACTTTTACCTAGGGAAAAATCAGATCAATAAAATAAAAAAAAAAAAATTAAGTGGACCAGATATTGTATTTAGCATGCACGCTCTTTCTTTGCAGTAAGCCTGAGGAAGCAATTGGTCAAATAAAATTGGATCCATTTAGACAACTACAAACGGCCTCGTTCTGTTGAAATGACTTGCTAAATAAACAATAGCTCTGATGCATCCTCAGTTCTGGAAACTCTAACACTTACCTTAAAACTCAGGTGGCTTCACTCTACTACCTGAAATCTGAGACTTACAGTGATTCATCTCTAAGTCTTTATAGAGGAAAAATCTGCTCATTTTGGCAATTACTCAGACAACATTACAAAAGCAATAGCATCATTCTGACCCAGGTAAGCATCAGTGCTGCAGTTATAGATCTCTTTTATCCTCTGCTTAAAGTCTGTGATGGTCTTCAGTTGATTACAGGATTAAGTACCTGCACCATGAGAAGCATGGCACTGTCTGTATCAGCAGCATTTCTTCAATTAGTTCCACATGAGCAAGTCCTTGAAGCTATGAAGACCCTACACAGTGCCACAGTTTAAACAAAACCCAACATCAACTGGAGAATCCATGCGTGAACCAGGTATTGTACTTAAAGCAAGCAAACAAAACAAACCCCCAAAACCAAAAAAAATCCCAACCTCCTTTCCAAAGAATGATGTTAGCATGGAACCTATTATGACAAAGACATGTTTGCTAATGTATTTTTTTGATAACTCGCATTACATAAACTTGTAGCTTCCACAACTTATTTCAGCTCAGCAGTTTTGATTGTGAACAGAGTACCTTTTATCAGCATGTCTGTCTCAGTATCTGATTTAATCTCATCTCCAGTGTTCATGTGTAACTCAGCCACAGATACTCTAGCCTAACTTTTATGCTGGCAACTAAATATGTCAGCAATGCAGGGATTTAGATAGCAGACAAACAAGATATTTAAGCAAAAGCTGTCTTTTTCTTAATCCTTGTTTTTAGTATTATTAATGCAGAGCTCTTAAGGTTCTTTCTGTGAGAAGTTTATAAACTAAACAGGAATCTTTTCAGTATGTAAACAGTGGGTATTAACTAGTCAATATTGGTAAAGTTTAAAGACCATGTGTGTTACTGGAATCTATTTGTCTTCTCCTTTTCAGCTTACGTGCCCATTCCCTGATAAGTGTGGAAGATGCATGTACCCTTTCAGAGAAACTGCTTGAAATGCAAACTGGTATATGCCAAAAACAATCCCACTGTATAATTTGGTATTCTGAATGCTATTTTTTGGTCAGTGAGCAAATGCAGTGTTTGAGAAGAACTCTCATGCGTACACAGAAAACATCCAACAAAGCAGAAAAAGTCAACAAAACTATTATCTAGGAATATAAAAGTATGGAAGACTCAAACTGGGCTAGCAGTGGCTGAAGAGCTGCTACATATTTGATATAGCTGTGTAGAAACTAGGCTAAAATTTATGTCAAATGGTAAAACACGGATTTTCAAAACACTGTTCAAAACCAAAGCACATACTATGTTGTTTTCTGATAGCTATTATTATAGAAGGCTAAAAACTTGCAATTAAAATCTATAATGCCAACATATAATCACTGACAACAGAAATCCCAATCACACCAAAATCCAATCTTTACTATGGGAAGAAGGTATAAAGTGGCATTACACTTGTTATCAGATGACTGGTCTGCAGAAGTTCACCCACACAAGAGTCATAACTGCTATGGGACAGGGCAGGGAGGGAATGATACCCGCTCATACTGCTCCTCTATTAACCCTTGAAATCTTTGCACTACTCATATTGTCTCTGCGATTTTCCCTTTATCAGATTTTTAGCTGGACTTTGAATTTACTTTTATCAATAACAATAAATCTGAGCAGTCTCCTTGGCAATGCAAGAAATATGGCACTGCTCTAGGAGGGCTCTATTATGGAAGCCCATAATTGCTGCACTAATCATTTATGAATGGCTCAGAACAGATAATTAATCTTTATGTCTCTCATTTCACGATCAGAAATTATGCTATTTTTACCTAAAATGGCTGCATCCTTTTGCAATTTGGTGGGTCTATTACAGCATAATACTAGGATATTTTCAGCACTGCCATTGAAAAACAATTTGTCATTTGCTTCATGAATCAGGCTCAAAGCCTGGGTTATTTTGAATATAATGACAGACTGAGTAACCTTTTACTTAAGCAGAATTTCATTCTGTGCTATGCACAAGGAATGTGTGTCACATACTCTGTATGAAAAGTCTTTGAATTGCAGAATCAGGAACCTGCGTGTCTCTTCCAATGTTCATTATCCACCCACATGCTCCTGTTTAAGTATTAAGGGAAAGGGGGCCAAATCCATCACTGATGCAACTGCATTAGCATCAGTGAAGTTTTCCAAAGAGTAAATAACCTCCCAAGCTCAGCTCTTTCCCTGGACACTATCTCTATTAAAACCTCACGTATTTCTAGATAGCCCTAGCCTTGCCATTTGCCAAAGGTTCTGCTTTGATACTGTGCACTTATTAAATTTGTTAGTAAGTTACGCTCTTAATTCCATATAGATGTATACATTATGTCAATCTAGAAATATATTTCTGTACAAGCTACCTTTCATTATTGGCAGGTTTTTTTTTGTTTGTTTGCAAATTAAGTTCTTTCATTCTTTAAAGTACTGCTCTCTGCAGTAATGTTTTTTTTCCACTGCAAGGTTAAGCAGTGAATTGAAACTGAAATAGTATTGTGATTAATCTTGGGCTTTCTCGTTTGGTCCTTCTTTTAGGAGCAACGTTCTCTTATGTTACAATATCTTCATGAGTACCAGGGAACACAGCAAGAGTGTTTTCTCTCTAGCATCTTTTCTGCCTCTATCAACAAGTTATCTTATAAAATGACTATGTCAGCAAATACACAGTACACAGTGCTGTGTCTGTGAATTACGAGCTGCTGCAAAATACAGAGGGGAATTAAAAGGTCTCCAGAATCCTGGAGAAGATGATAATAAAAATAATAATATCCAGGCAGTCGCTACAGAGAAGTATCAATTCCCCAGACTTTCCCTGGAGAAACAATATAAAGTTGCATTTTTAAAAGGTGTGAGTGTCCACTGCTATCAGGACCAAGCACAGTTTGAGATACGGCTCAGTGGAAAATCCATCCTTTTCTTGGAGTGACAGCGCCGAAAAGATCATCCCAAACTGAAGCCTCAGACGAGCTGCAAGAGAAACCATCGCACTCGCCCCATTGCTGCCAAGCCTTCTTTTTCAGGTGACAGCCTGTGGCACCACCCAAACTCACACACTCAGCACAGTGTCAGACACCCCCAAAATCTTTCAGTCTTGCTCATGGACTCACAAGGCACCCAATAAGAGGCTGCTTTGCAGGCACCATCACATTATATTGACTCTTATTTTATGTATTCCTGCTGGAAGATACAACAGCACACCGTGCTAAGTGTTAAGTTATCGGTGATGATGCTCTGATATAAAGGGGAAATCAGACCTCCATCCACTGGGTCTTCCCACACACTTTTGGGAATCAAAACCACTCGGTATCTCAGTTCCATGAGGCAGATTTCACCACTGGAGAAATGATGGGAAGATTTACTTTTCCTTGATCAACTGACGGTACTGCACAAAATCTAACTAGCACTCACAATATATTATAGAATCATATGATGCAAAATAGAAACAACACACCTGAAAAATCTAACTAGCACTCACAATATATTATAGAATCATATGATGCAAAATAGAAACAACACACCTGAAAAATCTGCTGCCAACAGGTCCACTGCCTTTAAAACTTTGACTTGTAAGAAACCAATGTCTTTTATGTCCCGAAAAGAATTCCTTATACACTGCAAGGAGGAAAGCATACAGATACATTTAATTTGTAATTCAGTACAAAACAGAAATTATTGAACTACTAAATGACTTACATTTTTATATTGATCACTATTTCAATTCAGCAGCTGATATACTCATTAATACATGTCCACTAACCCTGCCTCACTGCATCATGACCCTGAGGTTCACAACATCACATGCTACCTAAGGAAATTCTCCATTCACAAAAGTTACATGTTGACATGATGATGGAAATTGGAAGGAGCCCTGCATGTTTATGCCAATATCATCTGACCATTAAAACAGGAAAATGGGACATAGGTAGACCTGGAGAAGCAGCACGGGTTGGGAAGGCAGCACACTCAACCAGGAATGAGGAATCTGTCCTCAAAAACTTTGACTTATGTGGTTCAAATTCTTCATGACTGTCTCGTACCCCATTTCAGAGAGATACACTTATTCCTGCTTGCCCAGCTTTTGAGGGTTGAGGTGTGGAAGTCATCATATGGCGTTATCTTCCAATAATTTAAAGTCCAGAACATATCCTCCCCAAAGAAGGAAAGAAAGTGAAGTATACTATGATCTCTCCATGATATTCAGTGTGTCTCATTCCCCATGATAATCTCTTAATACAACTCAAGTTTGCAAAGAAAACTATTAGTTTAAAACTCAACAAATACAAGCACACAAATTGCTTGGGTCTATCTGCCTTGCCAATCTCCTTGTCATTCTAAACATAATAACTATTCGGTCTAATAGTTTTCTCTGGTAGAAGACATGTTATTATGACTGGACAATTTTATATTTTTATTTCCCTGCAATTTTGACTACTTTCAAAACTAAAGGAGAAAAAATAAATGCAAACTCACATAGCGCTGTGTAATCTGTTGCCGTTCACTGGGGTCCCCCAAAGGGCAGACACACAGATCAGAGATCGACACTCCTGTACACGGGGCAACAGCAATCAACATTAGCAGGGCCCCCGGATGCTTTTCCAGAGGCAGCTCTAAGCAATTGGTCTGCTTCGTCGGCAGGGCAGTAATGTCAACTTGGCACCTAGAACAACATTGCCAGGGGTTAATAAGTAAAAAGAGTTAAAAGAGCTGGGTGGGGTGGGTGGGGGGGAAGGCAACATTTATATTGATTTCAGTAGCAAGCAGGCACCAAAACTTATTACTTATTCAGGATGGAAAGAATGTAAAACAAAAAAAAAAAAAAAAAAAAAAAAAAAGGCATCTCAAAATTAAACATGGGAAACCAATTAGCCAGTTTCTATTCCACTTACTGTCAAGTTTTGCTTTCTGGTTCACCTACTGGTAAGCAGAGGTAAAAGGTTTGGGCTGCAAGGAAAACTTAACTCTGGCCTGCCTCACTTCCACTCTAAAATCCCCTAGTGCTTTTTGATGGATTTGAAACACAATTTTATTTCACCTGGGGGAAAAGAAAAGGGGCAAACACAAAATTTAAAACATTAGCCTAAAATAGATTAGTTTCTTTAAAGTCACATACTCCATTTTATGCTACATTATACTGTATGCCCCAATCTCTTTTACAAGCCTTACTAGAGCTACATTTTCAATGTACTGTTATATTTCCCAAAGGGAAAGATTGTCTTAAAAGTTCCTCCCCACCCCTTGCACATAATATGTATCATTAACCTGATACTTCCGCAAAAAATAAAAATAAGAAGGAAAAAAGAGAAACATTCATAGAGACAATAATAAAAGATGAGGATGGGCTAAAGCAGAGAGAGATCACTAGACAGGCAGATAAATGAGAAGGGAGCGGTTAAATGCAACAGAAAGCCTAATCACTTGGCTCGGCTAAATGCCTTCTATTTAGAAGTCCAGTAAATGGAGTGGAACTTTTTTGAACCTCTGTGGGGCTTGGCTTTTAAGAACAGGCTGAACAAAAGTTATAGATGAAAAAGGGAAAAAAAAAAAAAAACACACAAAAATAAGGAAGGAGAAGCTTTGTTGTCACAGTGCAAGGGGAGTCACATTTCTCAAAGGGACAGTGAGAGGATGATGGAGAGCGAGATCTTTCGCTCCCCTTAATGCCTGCCGACAAGTTTTTATTTAAACTAAACTTGTTAAGGTGTTGTCTTAATAGGCTAAAATTCCACAGGGTTCCCCCAGGTGAGTTTCTTCTGGGTAAATGGTGCATGTAGTGTTCCTGATTGATCCCATTCCAGTAGTAGAGCTGGAGCAGTTTATACCCATCTGCTATAAATTGCATGCTTTCCGCTTCTTAACAGCCTATTTTCTGTGAATGTTAAGGGGGGAGAAAAAAAAAAAAAAAATCCCAAAACATTTCAGCCTGAAAACCCAAGAAGCTATGTTATGAAGTAAAAGTCATTGCTCTGGTGAGTTTGTAAGGCATCCAGTAGCTCTGTGTATTAAAACCTCTCTCTGTGTAAGCTGCTTCTGACCAGAGTCAATGCGGATGACTTTGCCTTAAGTGCGCTATTTGCCATTCACTGCACTGAATGTACAACAGGTTTGCAAGTTTACTCTTGGTGCACCACGCTATTGCACAAGCGTAGGCTGCCTCTCAACACAGTTTCCAAGTGTGAGGGGTTGCGTTTAAAGCTCATCACTATGCCTAGACTCTTTGGAAAGATATGACAAGAGAAGTTACAGCAGAAAGGAAAACAAAACCACCACAAAAAAGTCAAACATTTGAGAAAAAGACCTTATCACTTCCACACCGGAGGTCAACATCACCTTGGCTGCATTAACAGTTCCTTCTCAGACTGAAGTAGTTTTTTGGATACTTTAGGTATCAGTGTGAAAGGGGGAATGTATTGTTATCTTAGGTTTGTTGGGGTTTTTTTTGTTTTTTTTTACAGATGAAGAAACTTAAGAAAGGAGAAGAAAAAACTCAGGGTCACCCAGCTGGTCTGTGGTTTAGCTGGCAATAGAGGCCACATCTCCCACATGAGCATTTCATACACCACCCACTCAACAGAGTCTGCAACTGGGAAAAGCTGCATTTGCTTTTTTTATCTTAAGAACTTTCCATGGGGTAAGAGAGAAAAGACAACTTGTTCAGACAACGGTGCATACCCTGATAGATAACCTCAGAAATCTCTCGTATATCAAAGGCAAAGTTAAATATAATTCTAGCTTGTTTTGGCAAATTTGAATTGTTTCACTTATTAAAAGAATTTGATTAGCCAAAGGTCAAAGAAAAGATCGAGTATAACGGTGTGGGGGTAGGAGAGATGCACATGTGGAGGGGAAAACAGCAGGAGGTGGAGTATAAGCATTTCTTCCTCAAATCATGTCTGATTTCCACGCAAACTAACTTCCTTAAAACATCTGTGTTCACTCAAGGTGATGGTATGCCTCTGTTTTCTTTTGAGGAACTGAAAAGAAAATCCATATTTGCACTTGCAAATGGCAAAAGGCTTAAGGAAAAAAAAAAAAAAGACAATCTGTTTCATTTAGGTTATACAACATAAAGGATCAGACCGCAAAGAATGCAGCTTGGTAAAACAATTAGACATTCAATTTACTATATAAATTCAGAAGTTTCCACACAAACGCTGCTACACTATTAAAATGAGCCTAATGATTTCTAAACTACTTCCCCTATCCTGAAACAGAAACTCTTCCTTTCCTCCTTTCTCAGTTTTCTATCTGCAAGACCTTATTACAGATAATTATTTCACAGGAAAGTAGTAAGAGACTATCATGATGGGCACAGTATAAAACTAATGGAGGCAATCCACTTTTTGCTCAGATGTTCCCTAATCTGAATGCAAAGGGCAAAGCTCTCAAATTATTTGGATTTTAGGTGATGCAAATGATCTCCTGAGTTAAATTCTCAACACTGTAATCCTATCTCAGAATAGGATACTCTGCTTGTTGTCATCTTTTGCTACATTTCGTATTAAATTCAGGTATAATCTTTCACACACATGGCTATATGCATGATCTCAGGGTATACAGTTTTGTAAGTTAAGAATGCATTGTGCACACAAATCTATCACTTCTTTTTTTTTTAAACCACAATTAATTAAATGGTTTTCTTCCTCCTCCTGATCAATACGTAGGTCTACACCTCTCTATAAACCTCTAGTCCTGTAGAGGATTACACCAGCTTTAGTTTTCATTTAAGACTGTTCTTTCGACTTACAGCCCTTATCTTTAGCTGCCAAACTTCCCCCCCCCTCCGCTTTTTTATTCATTTTGCAAAGAAATGTTACCTGGAACACTACATGGTAAATTTGGGGTTAAATTATTTAACTTTATCAGGGAATCAAATGGTAAAATTTCATTAGAAGTTGCAGATCTTAGCCTCTCACAAGTAGTAATGGGGCTGTATATTATTATGCAATCCACAGTTCATCAAATTATAAGTATCCTTAAATATAAACACATATGAAAAAATCCGCACAAAACAATGTTATTTTTTCCTCCTGCAGAACTCCTGAAAGCCCTTCACAAAAGAGGTTAGAGGCATTATTACGGTATACAGTAAGATGTACCTGATTAATATTTGAAAAGAAATTTCAAAGGCCACAGGTGTCAGTGAGACAATTAAGAAAGTCTTATTCTGATCTATTTTACAGATTAAATTTGATTGTCTGATTTCTCCTATAGCTTGGTGAAATTTAAATGAAAGGTTTGGATGCAGCCACAGTAGATTTTACTGCTCCTCCTAACCGCATGGCCTTTAAAATAAGGATTGTTTCTTGTTGCAAAGACACTGTTTCCTGGAGGCATTCATCATAAAGATATTGGATGCACTCCAATCTCACAGCTCATGGTCTTAAGTCTAGCAATTTCTGTAATACCTCGTTCCTGAGGTAAATATGTGAAAAAAAAAAAAAAAAAAAAAAACCTCCAACATCCTGCAGCATCTCTTTTTCAAAACCTATCCCTTAACGCTGAAACACTAACAACCTGGCATAAACAATGTAACTCTGCCTGGACAAATTCTGCACATGTTAACACCTTTGTTTATTAATACACATTAACATCATCTCCTGTTTATAGCATGCCTCTTATCCCAAAGGACACAAAAGGCACTCAATAAATGTTACCAACAGCTCTGTGTAGACTAAATAGAGGGATTATTTCATCCAGCACCAAAACACAGCCACCCCTCAGTGTTGGACTTTGGCAAACAAACTACTCAAGGCTGCAGTATTTTAAGGGAGGAAGAGAAACTGGACCCAGCTGAAAATCTAAGAAGAGCGCAGGTGGGCTGAATGTAATAATTGAGCTTGTGATGTGCACTGACAGCGAGGGTCTGTTTCGTGACAGGAGAAGGGTGACATGAAAATGCACCGAATGTTTCCTCACTAATTCAGAGGCAGACAAATGCCCCACGTGTTAGTGTTCAGTAACGGAGGTCCAGTGCATTTCTTATTCTACATCCTTCATAGTCTCCACACACTTCAGGCCTTATTTCAAGAACAATATTTTACCTTGAAACCAAATTATGCCTGGGAGAAGAGCCATGTTCCAGGGGTGTAAGGCATCTATCCTACGTGAAATCCTGGGTCTAAAGGAATTAACAAAAGTCTTCATTCCACAAAAATTCAGCAGCCTGGATTATCAGACATGAGTCCACCTTGTATACCTCCTCAACTTCATTCAAATATTAAAAATATACATATATTAGAAGGTCTAACCAACGCAGTTCAACCTACACAGCCTTGAGGGGAGCACAATTAATCACAACTTTATCCACAGATTGACCACAGAATTATTAATTCAGAACCAGCAAATTTTGACTTTTCCTTAAAACAATGAAAATTATTTGAGGGCAGTTGGGCTGTACTGCTATGCGTAATGACCGAATATAACCCACAAACATTTTACTAAAGAATCGTTCTTACAATGATGTTGTGAAATCCAGAAATCTCAAAACTCAACTTGGAAGTCATGGAGACAATAAACATGGCACCTCATAATGCTGTTTTTCCTACAGAATCCTTTTCCAGATTAGACTGAATTTGAACCCTTCACAAAATATTATTTATTGGGTGTCAAAAGTTTCTACACAGTAAAAAATAAGACTTGTTATTATGCATTTAGTGTTTACCTATTCTGGCAATTGCTCTTTAAAATCTAGTATAACTTTTTCCTGTTTTGACGCTACAGTGAATTTGCTGTGCTTAGGGCAACACAGCAATATTTTTCTCTCCACATAGACAGCAAAAATAACTTTAAGGTAAATCTAACACACACAGGCTTTCCCAGTGCTGAAATCTTTAATAATAGAATAAGCATTTTGCTGATAATTTTTTGCCACACTGAACACCACCTGCCAGAATCCAGTAAGAAAAAAGGAGGGGGGAATCCAAGGAAGGATTGCTTCAGCATCAGGGAGATGGAACAGAGGCAAGACACAAACACTGCTACATTTCTCAACTCTAAACAGAATATCAGAAGTAATAAAAGTAACTGTGAGAATGGAAGGAACAGATTCATCTTCAGCCACTTCTCCATGTGATGAGCAACAGCATTCAGCCAGAAAGCATTTCCTGCTCTGCAAAACCACAAACATTTGTAGAGCCAAAGGGCATTGTTCTTTTCAGTGAATAGTTTCAAACTATTTGAATGCTTAAAGTAAGAGAATGTTCTTATGAGTTACTGTTATTTAGTCAGCAAGTTGTGAAACCCTCGCCAGGTAAGAACAGCAAACAACTGCAGACAGGATCCCTGACTCTATGAATTTAGAGGTGGTGGCACTGATCCCGTGAGCAGATAAGCATGGGCAAACCCAAGAAGGGCTCCAGTAAATTACATAGTTCTTGGTGCTGCTGCATGTAGCCAACTGTGCAGATGCGGTTTGGGGAGATAGGTCTAGGTGATAATGCTGCAAACCAAAACAAGGAAGAAGATGCAGTTACTACTAGGAAACCAAGAATGTACTAATACTGTACAAAAAACAGAGTTCAAGTATAAGAGAAAGAGCAGGACATGAGAGTAGGAACCATATTATATTCCCATTTAAAAAAAATAAAAGGTTGACTGCTATCCCACAGAAAGTCTAATGTGGCATAAGATCTTTACTTGAGAATTTGAAGCGATAAGGGAATAAATGCAGTGGGACAAAATCTAGTATCAGTCAGGAGATGGATAAATCACCTGTGAGGCTGCCCCTTAAAGATGATGCTTTAAACAACATGAGCTCATGCAAAGTGTAGGGCACCAAACCCACAGAGATCAGTCCTCGGGGGCAGCAGGGAAGAGATCACCCAAATAAAGCAAACCCAGGCAACAGGACCCATACGTAAGCAAGGCTACTAGAACACACCACCAAAGCGCAAACAGAAATAAGGGACACGGCTGCCACTCGCAAAAGGAGAACAAAGATCCCTGAGCTGGCACCGGCCTGAGGGCATGTATCAGCCCTGCAGAACACAGCGGGGTGGTATCACCGTACTGCTTCCTCCCTGCCACCAGTTTCTCCGAGCTCCCGCAGTATTCTGGATTTTACAGTCAGCACGTGCTGAGTCAACTTGGGTGTCTCTGCATTCAGGTTGTGGCTAATCAATTACCCGTTAATAGGTTTTAATAAACATACCCTAACAGAGGACTCTGGACATGACCAGAAAAAGGAGAGAAACACAGTGTGATGTTGGTAATGAAAATTGATCAATTAAAAAAAAAAAAAAAAAAAAAAAATCACATCTTTTGTACTTACCCCACCCCTCCTCCCCCGCAAAAGTCCCACAAAAATAAACAAACAAAAAAAACCACCTCAACTTACGTTCCCAAAAGCTCCTCATGTTTTTTGTTATCCTTTCTCCAGACTTCAATGTCCAACATATCCTTCCTGTCAGAGAAGTAGTGAAAATCAAACTGTTCCCTCCACTGAGGATTTGCACTCTTACACAGTGTCTAGAAAACATGCAGTTATAATATTTATTTTTCTTAAATGGTACTTTTTTCCACAGTAAAGCACATATCAATTATTTTACAAGAACAAGGTTGGATGTTAGGACATCGAGTACTAAAGTAATTCCAATCAAAGCTCTCCAGCCCATCACGCAGAGCCTCATCTTCCTTAAAAACTCTCTTTCCTCTCTCATATTAATGATAAATATGCAAGTGTGATGTGAAATAATGGCTGGAGAAATTCTGAAATGCAAGGTGGATCCCCCCAGCTCCACTTTCAGTGGACTGCGGTCATCATTCAACATCACACTGGAAGAAATCAAAAAAAAAAAAAAAACCTTTTGAGGGCAATTACCTGAAAACAGGTTTGAATGAATTAAGGAACCCACAATAGTATTTTTACCCTTCTGTTTTAAGATATAGGAAAAGGAACAGCCTTGAAATTATTAACATCTGGTTAATTTGGTGTCTGTAAATTGTCCCTCTGAGTTTGGTGAGATTGTTCATGTGTTCAGATTATTCTGAGTATTCACTGGATTAGGATTGAAATCACTTGCAATTCATATCACACTACACTACCCACCATCAATATCAGCATGGCCACTGAGAGAACAGGAGATAGGATTAGCTGGACCATGACTAAGATTCCTCCCACCTTGCTTGCTTTTCTGGACCATGAGAGATTGTACTTCATAAATTGAAAAAACTCCAGAAAAGAACGTTACGTACTGACAATCTGAAGTCTTATTAGGGTGTAAAAGCAGCAGTCCCCAATTTTTACTGGACGCTAGACAGAAATACTAAACAATTAACTCGCTGCAGACAATGTTGTACTTGACTTCCCATCTTAAACTCTTTAATTTTCTGTGACTGCAAACAGTGTAGTCTTGCAGATTCATGACACAGGCTATGGGCCATTAAAGAGAAACATAAAAAGGGATCTTAACTGGAATAACATCTTTATTCTAAAATAACTAACCCATTTGTTATTTTTCAAAGCTGTTTTTCTAAATAAAAACATTATATCATGACCTTGGTTTGAGGTTCAATGTAGGGGACAGAGTGCAGGTTTCAGATGCGCCTACATCTGAGCATTATGTTCTGTGAACTTGCTCTGTACATTTTGTACAGGAGAGGGTTTGTTTGTTTCCTCCTCCTCCTTCTGCACTTCCAGTTCATGACATGCAGAGCTCTTGCTTTCTCAACAGAATATTATTTTAATTATAGCCCCTCTCCTTATTAGACTTTGGAGATGAAATGTTTATCTTTGGGAACCCCATTCATTTCTTAGATTCCCATGAAATGGTACTGGATACAAATAAACACAGCCTAGAGGAATAAAAATTAAAATCAAAACCATGGAATATTCTCTGTGTGTTGTTTTGGGTTTTTGGTTGGTTATTTTTGGGGGGTTGCGGTTTTTTTCCTTGTTATAAGTAACATTTTTCAAGAAAGGTGCTTTAAAAAATAATAAAAAAAAAAATTCCCCTGCACTGGGAACTATTTCAGGTCTGCTTTTCCAGCATATCTAACACTGCAACCTAACTTCTGTATTGGCAAAGAACAAAACACATGTGTGATGTACATAGCTTTATTTCATTTCATATTAATGTCAAACATCCGTCAATATGATTACTACGCTAAATGCACAAAACCAGGTATACACAATATTCCTAACTTCCTATTTCTATATTGGCATGTAAAACTTATTAGTAAAGGGTTAATGTCTCTGAGCTGGTCTCCCGGTTTTGATCTCACTTATATAAAAGCGATTCAAGAACAGTTCCATCTGAGGTAGCAACACTGGTAAAAGAAACACCAAGTATCTTATTGGCTTCAGCAAACTTAAGGAAATCCTTAATACTCACCTTACTCTTGTATCTTTGATCTCCCAGTTTGAGGAGAATAAAAATCTCTGCCAAGCCCCCTCCGGGGATGTTCTTCCCCTCCAGGAGTGTGATGGTGACCAGCCCATTCCACAACTGGTTCTTGCGCAAAGAGTCCGAGAGTCGCGCGCTCCGCATGAAACTCGACTGAAAAGCAAGTCAGCGACACAAAACATTAACACATCCAAACCCACTTTTTTATGCTCAAACTGACTGTGATATGAAAGCACCAGAAGTGAGAGAGGTACCGTGACCCCCTAGGAGCAAGTAGAGGATGGAGGACAGTAGGATGCTATGGATTTTCTGCCTGTACTGTACTATGGCTGACCCCATGAAGCAGCATCATCTGATGCTCAGCATCAGAGCAAAGCCAGCAGGGTTAGCTTAAACCAACAGGAAAGTCAACTTCACCCAGCCTGGCTGAGCTTCAGCAAGAGCAGACCTCGAGCGTTGAGAGAAATCTATTACCTCGGCTCACGGAAAGACACAGGAGACCTATGGGGAGGAGAGGTGGGAGAGGGGAGAAACTGAACCCTTGCATGTCCAGAAAAAGCAGGTCTGTCCTTTTCCTGCATTCCTGTCTGTGGTGGGGGGAGACAGCCCACAGTCATAAAGCCTATGGCCAGGTGAAAGGCTGAGCACGCATCTTCCACCTCCTCCATCACTCAACCTCCTGTCGTCCACCCTAGCTTTCTGCCTGCTGCTTTTGCAGCTCCTGCTTCCAGAAACCGAGCTCACGAATCAAAAATACCGATGCCTGCTGAAAAACACTGACACCGCCGGCTCTTCATCTGGAGTTATAGTTACCTGGTAGCCACATTTGTTACCTTCTCAGCTTCATCCTACATAGCATGGCTGCACTAACAGTTTGCTAACTGGCAATATTTTATTGGACAGAGGATGATTAAATAGGTCTTTATTTGCGGGGAGTGAGCTGGAAACATTAAAACTCAAGGCTCTACTTTTCTTCTCGCAGTAAAAATCCTGCCATATTTTATTCTCGTGAAGCAACTTTTAACTCGCCACACTTCGGAGCTTCAATCATGTCATATACAGGTGGGAGCAAGACGGAGGAGAAGATTTCACAAGTCACTTTAAAACAGGACGTGTTAGCTTTAAAAGCAAGTAAGAAATATTGTTGCTAAATAAAACGATTGCAAAAGCACCTGATGTCTGAAGATTACTTTTTATGGATCAATTACCCAGCAACAAAATTCTTAAATCACGGGTGGTGAACTCACAAATTTTTACTTGCTTTTTACTGGTTAAAATACCCAACTCTGAATCCCACAAGCATATTAATATACTTCTATTTAAACACCCTGTTTGGCTTTCCTGGCACACTGGTTAAAAATTCCTACCTTTAAAAAGAAAACGAGATTTTGATTCATAAATCCAGCTGCAATGTAATTTTTTTTTTTTTTTTTTTTTTTTAAAGTTCGTCTTTTAGGCCAAAAAGCTAAAGCATGACTGTTCCCATGGACATACTTCAAAGTCCCGGCAGATATATTCCTCCCTAAACACTGCAACTATTTCAAAATCCTTTTTATAAAAAAGGGAGTAATGTCCACAAGGGATCAAAGGGCATTCTACAGTCTGGCAATCGCCTTAGAAAAATGGCAGTGCTTCCATGAAATATGCCCTAAAATAATTTTGCAGCTTGGTATGTCCTAATTTCGAATTGGATGTTTATCTTGGAAAGGCTTCTATCTAACTTGTCCATAAAACAGCTCCACTTAGCTCTATGAGCCCTGTGAAAATGGAATCCAAAGCTGGCTATTAAAGGGGCCTGGAGATTGCTTCCATATGGCGTAACAGCATGGGAGTGGAGGGCTAAGGCCTACAGCAGGCGCTGCTTGGCTTGAGCTCCCCATCTATCCATGGACACTCGTTGCATTACACCATAACATCTGGATTATTGCTTGTAATGTCCCTGGGAAATATCCACTTCCCATCAAAGCCTTTATCTATCTCAGTTGTACTTTGAACATTTTAGTATTTAACATAGTCATGTTTTGATGTGATGTACTTGCTGCTTTAGGACCAAGGATTTTCCCTCCCTACCCTCTCCTTCCTCAGAGGAGGAAGAGGCATTTGATGTTAGTTCACAAACTGAAAAAAAAAAAAAAACAGACAAAGTTTATTATCCATGTTGCAATTTCTTTTAAAAACAAAGCATCCAGTTCTCGTCAAAGCTTCCAGGCTGAACACAAAAACCAGTTGTTATCACTCAGTTTTCAAATCAAATTTAGATTCTTTTCATTTTTTAACCAGGCCAGTATTTTAGGGTGTCACTCAGCGTTAGGGGGCCTTTCTACCCAAGTTCTGTAGCACATGTAACCCCACCCTTTTAGCCATTGACTTGACAATTCAAAAGACTGTTGGGAAGTACCCAAACCGGCCTGGATTCCGTGCAGTCCCAGGAAAAATCAGCGCCTGCAGGTCGGTATTACTGGAACACATTGCAATGCATCAACTCTGACCTTCCAAAACAGGTGGCCCCTAGCAAACGGCCTTGTGCACCCCCTTTCCAGATGGCTGCGCAGCTGCAAAAGTGCTCTGTGCTCATCTCAGAAGAGGGCTTTGTTGGTCTCCAGCTAACAGGAGCTGGCTACTTTCTGGAGGAGACCTAGCATCCCTTTAGAGCATCACACTGGGTAAAGAAACCAAGACGTTTGCAACTGGTTTAGGGCATGGGGATCTGGAGCACCTCAACACAGGCTCGATAACAGCAGTCTGCTTCCCACCTCCCCCAGCCCAGCTCTGCCACTGTCACAAGCCTCTCTCCAAACGGAGCAGCACGGAGCCCGGGAAGGCTGCTTGTCTCACGTCCCTGAAGGCAGCCTGTCACATTAGGAATGCTTTGGATTTCCTGGATGTGCCCCGGTTGTTCCCACAGTGTGTGCTCAGCAGGTCTGGCACGTCTCCTGTGCCTTGTAGCATCTACACCCACACCGAAGAACCACTCTGTGCATGCTCTGCAGCCACCTCTCCAGCCTCCCCAGGTATTTGGCAGGCCGTTCCTCTGACCACCCCGATGGAAATCCCAGCCAAACAGGCAGTGTCTCAGATTCCACTCACAGTTTCTGGAAGGAAGCACATCTGGGGAAACCCAGATGTGTGGTAAACCCACAGACCTAGACCATCAATGAGTCAACTTCAGTGTTGCCTGGGGAAGTCTGTACTATGGAAAATGCCTCCCAGGTGACAAGAAAATTATATTGCATTATTTGTTTTAAAAGTCTTACCTCCTCTCTGATAACCTGCACCTACTTGTTTCAAACTGATTTACATAGAGTTAATTGATTAAATTTTACAGCCTCCCTCTGAGTTGGTAAAACTATTACAGAGCAGAGCACAGAGAAGTGCAGAAATTAATCCAACAGAGTTACTCGGAGGCAAACAAGCACTGAAAATAACACCCAAAACACTTTCCCTCCCTCCAGCCATCACTACATTAACTTGCTTTCACAATGAGACCAAAAAAGTCAAAGCCCCTGTCTACGCTGGCCAGAAAAGGAGGACATAACTGCTTAATCAGTGGTAATTTTAAAGTGTTTTTATCTATTCAGCTCTACCCTTTCCCTGTTACCTCCCAGGCTACTGACACCTCCGCACTTAGGTACTTCATCTTCTGCTGCTGAACCCGAGCTCTTCCCAGCTGTGCTCCCAGACTGGATGCCAGGTCCTTCAGGCCTCTCCTGCTATATTTTCCTGTAAACTCTCTGCAGTCAGCCAGCTCACACTCTGGCCACGTCCCAGACTGAAGTAAAGGTGCCTTACATTGGTACAGAAACGTTGGCTGAAGCTAGGATCAGGCTATTGAGCTAGAAATTAGGAAACACATGCTTTATGATGGAAGTTGGCACATGTCCCAAAGCACAAGACATTTGACAAGTTAGCTTATTCCTTCCTGTCCCCCCATTTCTTCTGAAATCAAGATAGCCTTGAGATCAGAATTTGACGGGTTACAGAGCAGATCCTGGTCATAGAGCAGATCCCTGCTACGTGAGAAACAGAAGATGGTTCTTCTCCCTACTGCTTAGAGAGAACATTCGCCCAGAAAGCATCCCATGTCTCTGAACAGAAAAATTGAAAATAAGTGCTCACAATACTATTTTCAGAATGTGGCTCCTGGTTTCAAAATTTATATTAAAGTTTCTCACACCAACTTTCAATTTTTTATTACTTTCTGGATCTGGTTTAAAGAAGAAAGCTGGACAAGAATGAGCAGGTGTGACATATTTTGCCTTCACAGAGCCAAATACAGGAGATAAGCAAGAATGACAGAGCTTTGGAGGGGAAAGAACCAGCTCACTGACCCAGCTTCACAAAATCCTTTAGGACCTCGAGTCTCCCTCATAACACCATTTGTATATAATCTCCCTCTATAGGCACCCAGCGAATCCCCTCTGGTGCATCAGAGCTGCTTTCAAATCTGTCTCTTCTCCTGACACACACATACATGCCCCAAGTTCAAATTTGTTTTTGAAGCAATAAAGAGATGCAGAAAAATTGTACATTTAAATGACACGGTGAGGTGGCCAAGTGTGAAGCGAGCCCATCTCTCACATCCTTCATTTAAAAGGATGAGACAGGACAACAGAAAGCCTGCTGCAATCCCTGTGAAGAGGTCAACGTCGAAACTGGGCCACGTAATTTGCCATCTGAGAAAACAACAACACGCAAATAGAAAGACTCTTTGGACCTCTCCTCATTAAGCAGGGAAACCATTTTGCAGAGGCAGTCTCCCCTTGGGAAAGAGGAGAGGGCAGCGAGAAAGGCAAGTGAACCGACACGAGATTGCCGCCACAATGCGTGACCCTGTGGCAACCGAGTCCCTCTGCTCCGCGAAACACTTGGAGAGCGTCGCTGCCCACGGGGTGTTGTGGGAGAAAGCCAAATACAATGAGGCAGGCAAAAATGAAACCTAACAGCCCACGCAGAAAAAAAAAAATAAAATAAAATAAAAAAATAAGGAGAGTGAGGGATTTTCCCCCGCGATGAGATGCTGAGGAACACTTCAGTCCCGTCAGCCTTTCAGCCAATTTATTCAATCAGCTTAGGCTATCAAGGTGGCAATTGTGTCGCTTTTGTTTCAGGACTGAACTGCTGCGGGTCAATTCACCCTAAGCAAACCTGCTTATTTGCTTCATAGATGCTCACCACTTAAAGGTTATTCAGCTGTACAAATGCTCAAAATAACGTGTGGGGCACTCAGGGTGAGACTCAAGCCACCCAGGACAAACAAGGCTACTGAGCATCAGCATGTTGGGCTCCAACAGAGATAGCTACCAACACCCTCTGCGCCCCAGACAGTCCCAGAAAGAAAAACAGAAAAGAAGGGAGAGCTTGCCAATACACAGATACGAGTGCGTATATTAATACTGCCTAATAGTATCCTCTTCCCTTTGCAATGCCACCCTCCATGAGAAAAAGAAGCAAGCCGCACTCTTGGAGACAGCTCCCACAGAGGACAATGCTGTTCTCAGCTCCCATGAAAAATGAGGGATCTGGATGTGCTGCCCATGTCTTGGGAGTCCGCCCAAATGTGCGATGATTCCCTTCTAGCAGCAGTGAAAAATATATACTGTGTAATCAACAGATAGCTAAATCATCCAGCTCAACAGCTCTTGCACCAAAATGATTTAAAAGACAGTATTCAGTTGCTGAAATCCTTCCTGCATACTATCTGTAATGAATGTGAGGCAACCATAGCTAGACTGGAGATCTCATACTGTCGCTGTTTTCATTGTTGTCTGAAATGTAGCCTTTTCTTCAAAAAAAAAGGAAGCTCAGAGGACACACAAAGAGTGTACGGTATCCACAACAGCCCAGGTGAAGCCCTTCACCAGCCTGATATGAAGTTACATCAGGTATTAGTGCCATCAACAGGGGTACTAACCATCTGGGGTGAATTTGGCAAGCCAGAAAGAATCCTGTGATTAATGTGAAAATCTGAATGTGAAAATGTGACAAATCTGCCATAAAATAACATAAAATGGTCAAATTAGAGTATAGGCAGATTTCTTTCATATAGGGAATACAGGTTAAAAAAATGCTGTGAAAGTTACATTCATTTTGTCCATCCTTAAAATAAGTTATTTTCCCTGTATTTGTAGAAGAAAGGAAGCTAAGTATTGCAATAGAGGTCGTCTATAGTTCAGCACAAAAAAAAAAAAAAAAAAAAACACAACAGGAAAACTATTTCAAATAGAAAACTTTTATTTGCCTAAACCTATAGAGATGAAATTTAGATCTGTCTCAGTTCAGCTGCTCAAATGGAAAGTATACAGCCTTTTCTCCTTCAACAACCAACCAGAGTCATCTCAGCAGCCAAAAAAGAGATGAGTTTGTGTATCCATTACAGAGCTCTCACCATTTCCCCTGCCCCCCTTATTCCTGTATCTTTATCTCGTCCAGCAACATTGTTTTCTACCCCATCATACTCTCTGGCTATTCTTCCATAACCTCTTGTGCCTTCCCTAGACACCTATATTCCCCATGCACACAATTTTTCTTTCTAGCCTTTATGTTCTGCCACAAACTGCTAGTACTGCTTCCACAGACCAGAGTTTCCTAACTAAAGATGGTTATTGATGTACAGTACTAGTGTTTTAGTGCAGTAGCAGAATCAATAAACTAGGAAATACTGCTTTGTCAGATTTTTCCAGCGCATGCTGGGAAATATTTTTACTGCCTTTGGATGGTCACAGAGCTTTTCTTTAGAGATCACACTGGAGCATGAACTGTGTCTTCCCTAGGAAGAACTGAAGCTCTCCTACCCTCTAGTGACTGGAACAGAATAGAGCACAGGGTTGCAGCTTTTGTTTTGTTTTGTTTTGTTTTTTTTACCCTCGTCTTTTGAACAATACTTTCACTTCTCCTAAATCAGTACTATGCTTCAGCATCTCTTAATTTCATTTTAAAAGATTCTGAGGCACAAGTCAGAGTCTTGAGAACTAAACCCACCTGCTAGTATGGCTTACAGCTAGAGGTCCAAAAACATGTATGTAAAAAAATTATTCAAAATCTAATGAGATATAGCTTACCACTAAAAAAAAAAAAAAAAAAAAAAAAAAAATCCAGTGACAGCAACCAAGACAGAAAAGACAGAAGTTTGGCTATTCTGGACAAAAAGGACTAGAGTTTTAAAACCTGGCTCCCTTTCCCAGGACGCAAAGCCAACCAGCGTCAAGAGACAGCTGTGTGGGCACGCATGAGAAAAAGGGGGATCAAGCTACACTGACTGAGTGAGGGCATAGTAATTTCCAGAGATTTAGTTAAAAACTAAAGTGCTGAGCTCTTCAATTATTCCATCACTTTCTGTCATACGGCATTCAGGGATGCCTGGCGGCTCTCCGCGCCGAGAGCCGCAGGAAGAGCTGCAATATCCCTGGAACCAGGGCTCGCCGAGCCGCCGTCCAGCTCCACGGGCTGTACTTCGCACTTCTTCTGTTAACAAAAATATACTTGCTGGCACAATACCTGAGTGGGCTGGCTCCTCTACACAGCACACCAGAGTTGTAATGAATAAAACAAGAGGAGGTTAATTATTCAATTTATTTAGGCACAAACCAATAGTTATATGGGGAAAATATCAAGATGCGTATTTGTTCTCGAAAGAGCCAAATTCTGCTTTTCAGAAAGTTCGACTGTATAGCTCTCAAGCTGGGTACTGGGGCCTGCAGTTTCTATATCATTGTTATTTACTCAATAGCAAATTAAAGCTTTACAGAACAAATAAAAAGCCACAGTCTGTTTCCGGAACAAGTTAAAATCTAATGCAAAAATGGAACAGTACAAGAATATAAAAGTAATGGAAGCCTGCAGGGATACTACAGAAGACCAAGAGAAGCGAGTTATGTAGATACGTAGCAACACACAAATCTTGGAAATTCTGTTACATTGCTGGCACTGAAAACTCCCTGCTCAGTCTCCACCCCAGAACCAAAAGGAATTTCAAAACCCACAGGAGTGACCAGAAGAAATACTGTCTCACAAATTCCCCCCCATGGTGAGAGGCAACGCAAACAATTAGACTGGGAACCAGGAGCCCCCCATTCAACTCCGGTACCGACTACCGGCCACCTTTCAGGTATCCTTAAGCAACTCAAACCTCCCATTGCTCCTTTTTTTTTGGTTGTGTTTACACGCATTGCCCTAGAACAGATTTCTTTCTACAGCTCTTTGCTGGGTGGGGTCTTACTGTCACTTGCCACTAGACACTATAATAGTACCTAGAATAAGAAAACAGCAGCAATTTCTCATCACATTAAAAAAAAAAAAAAAAGCAAAAATATAAAAGCACTGCCACCACATTTAGACAGGCTGCATCTTGACTTCAGAGTTTTCGTATTTTTACACTTTCTGTTTCAGAAGAGGGCACAAAGATTTTGGGAGGGGGCTTTTTTTTTAAAAAGAAAAAAATATGGATTACCTTGGATGTTCGCTTCTTCCGACTCGACCATCTCTATTCATGAGTCCCCACCATTGTACCATAGAGAACCCAGAAAGAGGAAAAAGAGAGGAAGTAAATCAGAGAAAGTGTTTAGTAAAATAATTCAAACAGCAGCTTGTCAAATGTGTTAGAAAAGCTTATTACTAAGTAGGGGGCTGGATCTACTACTGCATTCATCTACCTCTCCTCACTTATGGAACATAACAATCAACAAACTCAAAATACCTGCATTGCACCAAAAAAAAAAAAAAAAAAAAAAAAAAAAAAGAGGAAATTAAAAAAAAAAAGAGAAATCAAGAATAAAAAGTGGAGAGACCCAGAGCCATTAGTAAGAAACATGGCTTATACTTTTGGTGCCATCTGGTTCTACAGTAAGCTAATTTAAAAAGGAAAAAAAATCATCTTGCTGTTAAGTGCTAATGTGGACAGAGCCATTTCACTATTCTGATTCCACTGGAAATGGCTGAGCAATTTGCATTTGAAATATGAGGGCTTAAAACATCGTCTTTAAAAAAAATTACAGTGTGCACCAACTCTTCTATCATCTGCACTCTGAATGTTAACTAAGCACCCAAGAGTACCAAAAGCTGCTACTTTAAACCAATGTATTTTCTGTCTCACTGACTAGGTCCACTTCAGTCCATGCCTTCGTAAAAATCCCAGAAGAACTTCCTGAGGTTCTTTCAGATAAACTGCTTTTTCTGCTAAAGAAACTTTATGTCTTTGTTTCCCCCCTTCCTATAATCCAGTGACATGTGTGCCAACAACACTCTTGTACAAGTTAGAGGGGGAATTCACATCCCAGATCAAAGCCATCTCATAATACAGATATATAAATACAACAACGTTTTGAATGTTGTCATTAAGCTTTTAAATAATCACATGCTGAGGTAGAAATAACTCTACAATTATCTTAAGATTTTACAATTCTCAAAAAAGGCAACTTTTTGAAAAATCAATAATGAATGGCAGATGTCCCACGTTAGCTTTTTTTATTTTGCTTTCCAACCCCTTTAAACATTTTTGTTTCTATAAATAATCCCGTTCAGACTGAAATTCCATACCTACAATTCAATAAAGTGCTGTAAACAGCAACTTTCATGCTAGACTACACATAAGACTTATGTAAAGAGAAAATCTTCCTATGTGTATTACACATTTAAAATTGGACCAACTTGAAAGCCAGAGCTAAGTAAATGCCTGACCTTGGCTTTTCCCCACCCCTTGCAGGACATGAACAGGATGAGTTCACCAACACAGATATGCTCCATGCTCTGTAAAACACTAGTAAGAATCTTAAAAGACAAAAACAAAAGCAAGAAGCCACCTGCAGGATCTGAAATTTTAAAACTATCAGCTTCAATTATGGCATTCGCAGTCTCTGCCCAGGTTTTTCTGGGTTTCTAGCATCACTAAATGTACCACATTTCAGCATCAGGAACCAAGTTCAACTGAACTCAGTCTACAAACTGTCAGTGGCAAGATCAGGGTTTTTACAAGCCATGTCTTCCTTTCTGCCAGTGTGCTACTCCACAAGATTGGTGCCGTTTAAGTTATAAAATCTCTGCTTTTAGGTTTCATGTGCATTTTTTCATTGTCATTGGGGAAAAAAAAAAAAAAAATAACCCAACAAAAAAACCCATTTTTTTGTTGTTTTTGATGTGTTCAATGCCTAGGTGGAAGTCAGAAAATACTATGTTCTGGAACAGCAATCACAGCAGGTATGGTTCATCCATTCACACCGGCAGCTTGCACGCTGCAGTGGGGGATACCACATGCCCGGCACACGGAGAGCACTGCCGCAGTGCACGTCACAGCTACGAGACACGAGCATCCAGCTGCAGCTGTCTCTGCAACTTTTACCCAGTTAAATATGAGGCTTTTTCTAAAGTTATGATCTATCTTGATTTCAATACTGAGTCTCAGAGGATGAAAATAAAGGTGGCATTTCCCAGTAAATCAGATTACGTGAGCTCTTCTCTTCTTCCCCTACACATTCCAGCTATAAATTTGATTTCCTAAGCCACTTACATTTCTCTTGAAGTCTCCTTGCTTGACTGCTAGACTCAAGTTTAATACAATCACTCCCATGTCATCTTCTAAACTGTTGGGATCTTCCAGTTTTAAAACCTGTTCAGTAGTTCTACAAGCCAAAAAAAAAAAAAAAATGTGCATTTATTGACTCCAGTTAACTCGAGTTGATTATTAAAGGTCATGCTGAGCTGTGCAAATTTCAGCTTCTTGTCTGAAATTCCCAATATTGAGTTTAAATGTTAAAACAGGAAATCTGGAGGGTTCCTTCTTAGTTTTGAAAAAATACACCACCCTTTCAATAATGCAGCCCAGCATCTCTATAGCATTACTTAGTACTCATAACTCTCCATATGCAGATGCACGCTGAATTAAGTTACTACTACTTCCACTTCGCAGGGAAGAAGAGTGACAGAGAAACTCATCCAAGTCAATTTTCTGACGTTAGTGGCTGGGATTTGACTCAAGACCTGCATTCTGCCTTACCTCCACCTCTGATTAATCTCCCTCCGTGACTTAGTTCCCTCTCTGAAAAGAGGAATGGTGGCATTTACCTGGTGGTACTAGCTCATGGATAAATTCATTAATGTTTCTAGAAATTCAGACACAACAGCCATAGGAGCTATAATATACCCATACAGGGAAAACTCATTTTCTTAGGGGGAAAAAAAAATGTTGCTCAGCAAGGGAGTATAAAAGAGAACTAAAACTTGAATTCCTGGCTTCCAGCTCCACATTGAGACCAAGCAGCAGCAGCAGCAGACAAAAGGCGCAGGGCTTGCCTCCACACTAAATCAGGGCCAGATGAGCTGCCGCGGGGATGGATGGCTGCGGGGGGAGGCTGGAAACGGGGCGCTCCCAGCCAGGCAGGCAAACTGCTCCCCGGCCCAAGGATATACAGAAAAAGAGACCCTGCGCTGCCTGGGGCTAAGAAGGGGTCTCAACCTTCTCCCCTCTTTCTTCTTCCACCTCCACGAATTATTCTGGTGTAGCTCTCCCTAAACAACGCTGCATATAGAAACTCTTATTCTTATCCCCAGACATGGGAAGGGAAGGGCCTTCTGCCGAACTGGGCTCCATCCAGGTTGGATTTGAACCCCGTACGTAACGCTGGATAAAAACATGCGTGTACAGGATTTATCTCAAGCGATTTCTTTTAAAATGTGCTTCCCACCCTTCTATCAAAACAAGTTCTCATGAATAGACAAATTCCAAGCTAAAGCAAAAGCATTTCATTATTTTCCTATGTTTCTCAATTAAGCTGCATTAGTAAGCTTTAATTAAATAAATGTATTACCTATTGAGTTCAAGTTCAGCGAGTGCTACAAATGCCGAACCCATGAAGTCTGAAGAGGTTAAATCTCGATCATACACCTGGTAGCAAAATAAAATAAATATTTCTAATTTTCATATCATAAGCCAATTTTATCCCAGCTGATAAAATAACGGATATTTTAAGCCATTTCAGTTCAATTTTGTATTTGAAAGATCAAAGCTTAGATATAATTCAGGGATAATTTTCCATCTCCCTGCTTTAATTTGTATTTTTAACTAAATATTTAAACAGCATTTTGAAAGTATCTTCTTAATATTATGTAAACAGAGACATGTGTGCTGCTATGGATTGTGCCTGTTCCTTTATGCTCTGTGCAATAGCATAATGAAACGCTGCACAAAAAAATCAGGTACTTCTGGCTACAGATGTTTTAGCAATTAGTGCTCACAACTGGTAGCTTGCAGTTCTGGTAACTGTAACGTTACTCATAATGAGAAAAGGCTTTGCTACTTGTCACGGCTGCATCCCAGGTAATAATTCTGTTCAACCCAGCCAAATTACACTCTTAAAACGTGCTTATGAAACCGCTATTGGTTTCACTGAGTTTGCACAAGCACAGTAAGAGCGAGCAGAATTTAGCTCCATAGCTTTAAACATATCCAGTCAAGGAGTTTTATTTCAACTTGGGCTTTTGCAGATGGAAAGCAAAACATGCAAGTAAAATCTGGAAAAGACATATGTGCATTTTAATTTGAAATTGCTGAAACTCTTAAACCGGATTGTGTTTTATGTTACACTGCTACAGTGAATAAAAATCAATACGCTTCTAAAGTCAAAAAAAAAAAAAAAAATTACTTAAAAAAAAATATTGACCCATCTTTCAAAAATCTAAACCTAAAACTTACCTTGATCCAGAGTTTTTGATCAAGGGTCTGTACAGGCAGCACAACAGTCTCATCCCAAACTGGGTTGAGGTTCTTGTAGACTACCTTGCTTTTGTATAGAGTTTTCCCATTCAGTTTAAACTTCACATATGGGTCACTTGTACCTGTGATAATTAATAAAAAAGTAGATTATCACTGCCCCCACATAGCCCCACAATCTCAAATTATACTTTCACAATACCATAAGTAACAATAATAAATAGTAATGAGTTATTTTATATATACATGCATATACTTGTTTACCTACATAAAAATTGCGAGTTTATACGGGAAATCTACTGAACAAAAACAGAAAGTTGTCTGAAAGCAGGCAACAAAAATTCCTCATAGTTTGCTTGATCTCCACTCTGTTATTCTTAAAGAATGTTAATTATTCTTTCGTAATTTAGTTAACATTTTAATTTGTGAAAAGAGCAAACAGAAGGCAGGGATGAAGGGCGATTTACAGGCCAACTAACAACACAAACCGTGGAAGAGAGAAAATGTGATCCACTGACTATGAATATATAAAAAGACCAAAACTCAAAAGCATCGTAACGTGGATAGGAGCTCCAAGGAAACCAGTAACAATAGCTAAAATACCCATCAGAATTTCATCACTGGTATCCCTTGCCAATTTACTTAAAACCAAATTTGAAGTTTCAGTGAAAAAAATACTGACACTATTCACTAGCTCAGGATAAAAACCACACACAGAATAGATTCCATGAAGGCAACAAACAATATTCAGGTAACGCATTTTTTAATCCAAGTGGCACAATTTGCCGTGGCAATAATGTCCCATATTTTTATGGAGCAGATGTCCACAGACAGAGTGTGAGGCTCGTGCCACTCGGCAGCAATAGAAAAACTTGCAGCTGTCAAAGGAAAACAGAAGAGGGAATCAACTTTTTATAATCGTTATTAAACCAGTGGCATCTGCACTAGCACCAACCACCGTGCAGGACACCACACAAAGAGGGGAACAAGGTACGTGAAGGGTTTAACTAGATGGTCGATTTAGTAGTGCATACAGACTTTGCAAAAAAATCTCACAAGCTGCAAATAAGGGAAAGAATAAAACTGAGGTGTAGTAGCATATGCAATTAACTGATCCCAGGCGCTGTACATCTGTCATATTCAATATTGTCTATGTTATACCTTTTATTTGGAATTAAACTTCCCTCCGAACAGATCAATTTCATTAGAAGAATAACAGCTAATGAGACGGTCCTGGCTGCTCCCCCAGCCTGCAGAATCGGCTGCCAGCAGGAAAAGACCGACTCTTACACCAGACTTCAGATTCAGAAATAATCTGAACCTGTCCTTCCTGGTTCCCGCTGAGATACTGGCCAACAAACGCATGGCAGTTCAGGATAATCCAGTGTAAGACCAATACTCAGTCCTGTCAGTAGTTTGGTGAAACACTGAGAATGTGAAAAATCCATATTTAAACATCCAAAGCTCCGATCACTGTTATGTGGAGACCGATTTAGGCTCCAGAAAAAATAGCTATGTGTTAGCATCTATTTGAAATTACATAGTACTGTAAAGTACTGTGCTTCTCAGATATACAGACTTCTTTTTAAGAATTACAGAAAGTTTTTATTCTGTTTTAATATCAAAAGGGAAGGGCTGTAATAAAGCCCTGGCCAATTCTACACATAAAGGGTATTTCATTCACAGAAGAAAAATACCAGTTGGTTTTCAAATACTACCTGCAGGTGATCCTTCTCCTAAATAGTAATTAATGAAATAAAATCCTTCTTGTGAAAAATGCTGCAAAATTGAAAAGAGGTTTCTTTTCCTTCTCTTCTAAAAGAGAATAATAGTAAGGGCCTGCTCCAAAGCCAGGGAAGTCAGAGGGCAGCTTCTCATTGTTTTCAGTGGGTTAGGACTAGACCTTTCCCTAGAATACTTCTCAGAACTATGATTACACTCATATAAAAATGTACAGCTTAAAACCAGTGCATTTTCCACAATGAGTGGGAACACACAGATAAGTTGTAGCCCCACAAGGTGGACAGTACCCCTCAGAGGATGCAGAAGTTAAGAAATAACAGCGTTTTGCTCTTTGGTGTTAGTTTCTTCCAGCTCCTTTAAAAAGGAAACAATCAAACAAACAAAAAAAATAAAGAACTGGCTTTTATTTATGGTATAAGCAGGAGCAAGCTACATTATTAAAAATAACAATAATAGTAATAAAAATGTCCACGACCTATTTTGTGCATGAAATAGCAACTGGCTGAGACAAGGAAAGCAACTGATGAAATGAAAGCAGGAAGAGGGTGACGGAGGCAGGTGGTCTATGGCTGTAACTCATCTGCTTTTGGCACAGAAAACCCACGAACAAGGGCAAAACCTTAAAAGAGAGAAAGAAGCAGGAGCCAGAGTGACCAGCCGGCAAGTTCAATATCTGCAAGTACAGAACTCCAAGCCCTTTCTCTACAGATGAGAAGGAGGAAGACTATAGCTAAGCATCCCAACTGCATTATTGCTCTGAAAGCTTTCCAGCTTGTTATATAGTAAAGGAAAATAAAAGAGGGGGTGGGGCTGCCCACCAACATTTATGTTAGCCAGGCTTTAGCAATCATTCTTCCATATATATATCTCTATAAAAATATAATGTCTTCCTTTATATTTACATATATTTTTCTATATAAAAGCATATATATGTATATTAAGGAAGGTATATATTTATATAAAATACATATATTTATATAAAAATTTATTAAAAAGTGAGGGGGGAAAAAAAAGCTGTATTAAAAAGAGGCCTTTAATTAAATAAGATTGCCACTCTGGGATCAGGCCTTCATGCTTGTCAGCTTACTCTCAAAATAAACATCTCAAATCGGGGCCTCAGTGGTGTCACTTACCCCAGCAAGGCACACTGGGTAATCCCTCGCTATCTTGACAGCTACATAATGTTCAAACTGTTTCACGGGTGAACGGCGGCACTTGCGTGAAGGAAAATATTAATGCCGGGAATTAATAGAAAAAGGGATGATGGTTTACAAAAGCCAAACAAGGAAAAGGTGTCAAGTTAGTACCAGTGTTAATTGTTAGGGAAAATAATTGTGGAGGGGCGCGGGTTTCGGCAGCGCTCGCCTGTCTGGCTGTCAGAGGGGTAACATCTCAACTAGTGGCGGGGGGGTGAGGGGGGGAGAGGGGTCGGTGGCTCCCGGATCATACAAACGACAGGCTGACACCTCCGTGCCGGCAAACAGATGGACTCTCACCTCCACGGCAGGAGCTGGAGAGCACCCCGGGGCTCGGTGGCATTCGCTGGGTGGCCCGGAGAGAAATGACCGGGGTGGATATGACACCCCACAGCCCCTTTGGGGGCTTTCAAGGCTTCCCCCCATGTTGCTCTTGGGATGCTGATGAAGCTCCTGTACCCCCCGCCCTGGGTCACTGTGTCCATTTCTGGTTTTCTTTAAGTCAGCCCAGATTGTATCCAGGTGATCAAAATGGGTTAAAAAAGGAGAGGAGGAATGTGAAATAAGGCAGGTGGACAAGCCTGGCCTGATGGGATCAGCAGCACAGACTGCAAATTAACTTCATTTGAATACAAGGCCTTAAACCGCCTGGATTCAAGATCAGAAAGATGTCTGGATCTATTAAAAGCTATTAGAGACAATCTACAACCTAGATAGAAAAGCATAACTTTTTTGAAAAGTGTCTAGTGATTTTAGAGATCAAGCGGTGTAAGAAAGGATGTATTTTCTATAAGTTTCCTTTAAACATGACAGACACTCAATAATTTTCTGAAGAAGTCGGGCCATTTAAGGAAAAAAAAAAAAAACAAAAACAAAAACAAAACATTGCAGCAGCCATTTTGTAGCAACAGCAACCGAGTCAACAACTTCTAAGCACATGCACCCAGGATCTTCTGCAATGCAAGGTCTGAACCTGTTCTTCTCAGTCACATCAGCTGTAGTCATGTGTCAACAGCGTAATGCAAGGAGGCTGATTATTCTTTAAATCAGTTGAGAATTAGATCAAGAAAAACAGTTTTCTGCTGGGAAAAGCAAAGTGTGATGCTTTGAGGTTAATTTAAATGTTATGCCATGACAAGAAGCTTCTCACACAGTAAAATATATGGACAAAATATATAAAGCAAATGGGATTACCTGCTTCTCAGCCCTAAACAAACCCAATAAGAGTAAAACGAAAGGATGAACTCTAAAAAACTTGTTCCATCAGCTGCGCCTGTTTTCCGAATTAGAGAAAGAACATGCATCTCAACAGTGATGTTCCCTGGAATTCATTTCTCTAATCTCTATCTCATTTCTCTTTTCTTCCACTAACACTAAAAAACAACGAGGGCACCAGACCAAACACCAGCTAAAATCTGAGCAAGTTCCAGTGAGCGAAACTTGCTGGGACACAGCAGCAGGAGAGGGTTTAGTAGCCCAAGAAACTGTTAATGGTGTTTTTAAATGGATACTGCTGCCCTCTAGCAGCTACCGAGAGATGTATCACACCAACTGTGTTTAATACTACTGCACACTTGCTTCATAATTAGGAGAAAAAAAAAACAGAACAAAACAAAACAAAACCAGAAGTCCCGGTATAATACCAAGCCACACACTATTTTACAGGAGTACACTTACTGGAAATGTAGCATATGAAACAAGTCTCATTACATAAATAAATAAATAAAAATTACCACCAAGTTGCCTTAAAATCCTGGAAAAAAAAACATAATCAAAGAACAGTGTGAAATATAATCTAGACCATCTTAAGTTTTGGTTAAAAACCTAAATTTTAATCTGAATAAGGAAATGAAGGATTTCTTTTATATGCACATAAAGAATAAATTTCTTTAAATCTTCCTAGAAATAGAATTACTGGAGTTATTTACAACAAGAAGTAAAATCCATGTTAAAATGGAACACACACTTTTCTTTTTAAGTGGAAAACCACCATATTCTTGTAGTGAAATAGCTGAGATCAAGGTTTAAAGGGAAACTCAGGAAAAAAAAAGTATTCTGCTGGCAGGAAATTCAGGTAATTTTGGAAAGTTGTGCCCAGCTAGTTTTACGTGGACAGATGGAAGTGAAACATTGCTTGGAAACAAGTATCACCAATAGGTTCCAAGCGAAAATAAACCAACAGACAT